ATTATTATTATTATTATTACTGTTATTATCATCTTCATACACCATATCACTTTGATACCCAAAAAAAATAGACAGTAATATTAAAAATAATGGCAATAATGATGATAATAAATTTTGGAAAAAAACAATGCTTGATAAGAAGCATAATGAGAAGTATAAATTTTGCCGTAGTAGTTGAAGAAATGAAATGTTTAAAGTAGAAATAGTAAATCATAGAAGAAATTATATTTCACGATTTTTCGAGAAGGTTTTTTTTTCCCCTAACAGAGAGAGAGAGAGAGAGTAATATAAATTCACAACAATTGTTGACCACATTTGTGGAAGGTTGTTTGGTCTATAAGAAGAAGTAAACAAAATTTTAACAAAAAAATTCTATCGAAGTAATTTAGAGAGGGAAAAAGTTAAAGCATAAATATCAATGACATCACAAGAAATGAATGATGAACAAAGTTTGGAGAAAGGATAGGCGGTAAAGTAAAAAGTTCCAGAAACAAAATTTTCAAGGATTTTAAAGATGTGCTTCATTTTTCGAAATAACTTCAACAACAAAATTTTCCAAAAATTACAGCAGCTGCTTTCTCTCTCTCTCTCTCTCTCTCTCTTTTAATTTACCAATTGCTTATTCACTGCTCTCTCTCTCTCTCTCTCTCTCTCTCTCTCTCCCTCTTATAATCTTTGTTAAAAAAACCTTGACGAACAATAAACAATTAGTGCAAAATAACGGCAGGAAATGAGGGAAATTTATCAAAATTATTTCATTTTCATTTTTGTGGGAAATGTCCGAATCATTAGCAGAGAGAAATAGAGGGGAAAAGAAACGAAAGAAAAGAAATTTGAGATTTGAAGAAAATGAAATTTAAGAAATTCATTGTTTTTGATTTAATTGACATTAACTATTTTAAAAAGTTACAAAAAAAATTATCTTCGAAGATTTGTAAAAAGGAATTTAAAAGAAATTTTCTTTCATTTCCATCTGTTTTAGCGAAATTTTAATTTATTTCAAAGTTATATCATAGAAATAGCTAATAGTAATAATATATCATAGAATAATAATAATAATAATAATAATTCGTAATAATAAATGGCAATTATCTTTATCATATTACAAATAATATGCTGGTGATAACCATTTTATATTAATGATATTAATAGTAGTGAAAAATAAATAAATCATAAATTTATTATTATATTACAAATAATAAGCATATTACAAATAATATGCTAGTGATAACTATTTTATATTAATGATATTAATAGTAGTAAAAAAAAAAATCATAAATTTATTATTATTTATTTCTTGCCTTAAAGAATTGTTTATTTTTTATAATAATATTGCTTACAATATTATTATTTCTTGTTATTATGAATGATAAAAATATTTTCTTATAATTTTATCATATGTAATCATTGTTGAAATTTCTTTCTGATAATAATTATTGATTGGTTTTTTAGATGATAAAAAAAATGGAATTTAAAAAGTAATAAAAAGCGATGAAATTTAATCAAAGGATATCAAAGAAATTTGATCTTAAATTTAAAAACTCTAAAAGATTCGATTTCATCAAAATTCATGAAATGATTTAATTTATCAGAAATAATTACTTCACAATTGATATGAACGCTCAAATAGTAATAAATTTTATTTCAATTCAGGAAATTCAAATTATCTACGAATAATTCAGGAAATGTTTTCAAAATGATCATCTTTGAAAGATCTGACCAGCGCTGGACAACGGTCATCGAAATCATCTTTGAAAGATCTGGCCAACAATGGATAGTGGTTATCGAGATGCATCTTTATAAGATCTGACCAGCATTGGATAGCGATGAGCTGCAGTATTTTTTCTTTTTATTAAATGATGAGCCTATTTATTAAACTTGTTTATCTCATCAAAAGAAACAATTAAGTTTGTCTTTCATTAGAGAGAGTATCAAATGTTTATTATGCAAATGAAAATTACCTGAAATTTGGAATGAACAAATATCTACAAATCAGGAGGGCAACTTTATCTCTTCCTCTTATTATAAATAATCATTGATTGAGTAATTTAACAATTAAAGCTAATAAACTTTCTCAAAAGTACTACCTATTTTATCACTTCGAATAAATGGTCTCTTTTATCATTATCAATAATGATATCTGTCTTATCATTCATTCTTTTCCATTTTACCCTCAAAATTTTCATTAAAATAATTCGTAAAATTTTGATTAAAATTATTGAAATGATTTTGGTGTAAAATTCCTACAGGAAATAATAATTATTTTCTGTGAGACTAAATATTTTAATGCAAATTTTATTATTTATAATTTCCTACTTCTTCTTGCATTTACCTTTTAGGTCAATTATATTCATCAGATCTTAATTTATTTACATGTATGTATTGATGCTAAAAACTTTGCATAAAAAAATTTGTTGTTTGTTTGACATACTGTGAGAAGCAATAATTTTCACATTACAGCTAAACTTTATTAACAAATAACAAAGGCGCATTAAATTTCCACCATCCAAGACAGTATGATTTAAATCTTCGAATAAAATAATAGGAAAAGAGGAAATAATAATTAAATTTCCAGCAGAAAAGATCAATGATGAATAAGATTAGATGATGAGAATTAGGTATGTTGCCGAATCTGTATGATCTTATAACATAGCCGACTAACGGAATTTTGAAAAAGATTCCTGCAAAAGATTAATCTGCTATCAAACATTTAATACATTCACTAATCAATCTGTGGATAATTAATTGAATGTGAAGGTAAGTTATTATTTTAATTTGCACACGAATTTTCCAATCCAATTTCTTATTCTTAAAATGATATTAATTATTTTCAACAGCAAATTTATGAATTATACCAATAACAGAAGGAAATCTCATTAATTAATGTAAAATATTTGTTTGCAAATAACAAAGTAGAAATTTCAGAAAAATTTTTTTCCTGAAATAATAATAAGTTTGATAGATATGTCAAATGATTCCATTAAATATATGATATGTATAATATCAAATCAAAAGAATTTAGAATTCAATAATAAACTTGAAAATTAGCTACTACCAAAATTCTTCAAATTTGCAAATGTAATACATTTTTTTCGGTAACTTATCGATGGTAATATTTTTCAGTAGAAAAATTGTTCCAGATCTTAAATTAATGGTGGTACAAAATGCATTGATCGCCGATTGTCTTTAATATGACTAGCAGTTAAAATGGCTGTTTTCCGAAGTCGGCTACTTGAATAATTGACTGTTTCACGTTTGCGTATCATTACTGAATCTAGACTGAGCCAACGATGTGTTAGTGCTTCATCAGTGCGCATACGTTTCCTAAAATTAATATTAAAATTTAAAATTAGAATAAACCTAAAAATTTATTCATAATTAACAAAGGTAATGCAAAAAAAAAGAAATCGGAAAAAAAGATTAAATTAATCTAAAAATGCAAAATTACATTGGATCCTTTTTCAGAGCCCAAGTTACGAATTTCAATGATTCCTCCGTTGCTTGTACTTGAATTAAATTTGGATTGCACTTCTGATAAATGGTACTTTCTTTAATTTCATCATCTGAATCATCTGCCGCAGCAAATGGATGAAATCCACTTAGTCTAAATTAATTTATTCTTATATATAAATAAAGTAACACATAATACTTAAGTATAAAGGTAGTAGACTATTTTCAAATTTCGTTTTTCAGTTTTATTTTTCGAAAGTATTTACTTCTCTTTCCCTCGCTCTCTTTGCAAAATTCGATTTTCCATAAGAATTTTTCATCGTTTGAAAAGAATTAAAAAACTTCAATATAAACTTTACTTACAAACAGAAAGTAATTATTCCAAGACCCCAAATATCAGTCTGGGCTGTAATAGGAACTTTCTTTTCATCTGTACGCAGTATTTCTGGTGAAGCCCAATATAGATTTGGTTTTAGCGGTTGTTTAATTTCGCAACTAATTTTTTGTGCTGAAGCAAAATCGGTAAGTTTAATTTGCCAAGATTGTCGGGATGCGAACAAAACATTGGTTGCTTGTACATCCATATGTACATAACTGAAAATTACGCTACTTAATCACTTTAATTTCTCCATAATTAAGTAAATACAGTAATTAATATTATACTACAAAAACAATATGATGTACCGTTTATGCTATATTTCATCTCAAAAATTTGCATAAATACATGTCATACCCTCTGAAATGTATCCAGTGAAGAGCAGATGCAATTTGTACAATTACTCTACTTATTTGTTCTTCGTTATAACTATCGCGATATGTAAATCGTTCGAAAATATCTTCCCGATATCGTTCCATAAATAAAAACAGTAATTCATTTCTAAAATTAAATAAAATTAATTAAGTACATTATTAATTTAGATCGAAAAATATCATTCCAAAGAAAGGATTTGCAAAATTTAATCAAAATTTAATTCTTTGTTCACTCGCTCATTAAGATCATAAAACAATCTAAAAAGTTATACAGTTAGAGAGCCTTTTGATTATTCATTAAATATCCAACCATAATTTAGATAAGTTAAATTTTGATTAAATAAAAAATTCTAGTATCCTACCGCTGATAAGCAGCAATTAGATGGACAATATTTTCTTGCTGACACTCATTTAAGGCTTCGAATTCAGTGATACCATTAGCCCCTTCAACATTAATATTCCGAATTTTAGCCAGGCAATCAGCGTCTGTTTCTCGAGATTTATCAATGGCAAATGCTATTTCACCGAATCGACCACGAGGTAACGGAGCAATGAGCTAAACACTTTTTTTTAAAAAAAGTACTTTTGAAGTTCTCAGTTCTGAATTCGAATTTTTCAAATTAACAATACATCAAGCAAAAAGAACAGATCAGATTTGTGATTGATTTATAAAATTCGATTATACGAATTTTTAATTTCTCAATGTTTCTAACCGGAGATTAAACTTTTTTATCAAAGCGGAATTCAATTAACTAGTATAAGAAGAACAGTAAACAAAATATTGCCTGAAAGCGTTTCTGTGGCTCTTCTAAGACATTCAATGTCAAAATCTGAGTTTGTGGTTTTAAATCAATTTCTTCTATTTCAGCCTTTTCTTCATCCTCCTCCGTAATCTCACCAAGTTTCTTAGACCTTGAAAATAGTCGTGTTTGTGGTGGTTTTGAAACGACACATACACGACATCGCTCTTGAAGTTTTTCAATTTGAAGTTTTGGTGAGCCTGAAATGTATAATGAAATACTTACGAATAGATTTATATAAATCAATATATTCATATGAAAGTTTAGCAATAACATTACCAGAATTATTAGAACTTAAAACTATTGATTGATTCCAAAATTACTCTGAAACAACTCTTTTAAATATCATTTAAATTTTCTTCTTTTAATTAATATACATCTTATGAGATCATGTTTAGACATTGCTTTCACAGATCCTGTAAACTGAGAAGTACCACTAATGCATTGTTTTACAACTTTGAAGATGTCATTCTTCACTAAGATGCCATTTCATCTCTAATCGATTAAAACAAACCTTTGGGATGTGTTTGTATGATTCGAGAGGTTAATGATGGAATACCCCAACCGAATTCGTTTTTAGCGATCACTCGAAATTGATAAATGCCTTGTGGTGTTAGATGTCGCACGATTGCTGCTTCATCTTCTATTTTATCCGAAACAAGACGCCACTCCGAGAAATGATCATTTTCACCTGAATGCAAAGCATATGCAAATTTTTTACAATTTTAAAAATTAAACATTCAATTTAAAATTTTTGAAGAAATTTAAACTTATGAAATTATGGATTCAATTCAAACTTGGAAACTTGAAATTCCAAATAATAAAAAATTTGTTCATCCCTAAATTGAGTCTCTCATATTTTATCATACTTAAATTATTCTTTAAATTTCAAAACAACAACAAAAAATATCTTCATACCTGCCGGCCGAACTTCCAGCTTATACATGAAACATTCCAGACCATGGCTCATTTGTGGTGCTTCCCAAGTAATAAATGCTTCAGTATCCGATGAAAGCTCAACTTCAGGCCGACCGGGTGGTGCCGGTGTATCTAAGATAAAATGAAAATTTTAAATTACATATTTCTATGTACAACTCTAAATTGTACTTGCTGGATTGAAAAATTAGATTTCAAATTAATCATATAAGACAACCTCCGGTAATCAATCGAGCGCAACTCCTATCCACACCATGTTCATTTGATGCAACGCAAGAGTATTCACCAAGATCGGTTATATCGATTGCTTGAATTGTTAGTTGACATTGACCGTTTTCATAAAATATCTAAATAATAAATTATTTAAAATAAAGAATTACAGGAAGTGAAATAAAATATGTCAAACCTTATGCTTATCGTCATCCACAACGAGGCTATCATTGAAAAACCATTCAACAGTTGGTTGTGGATTACCAATCACAGCACATTTAAATATTACTGTGCTACCGTTTCCCATAAACGGTTGATCTTTTAATCGATTTCGGAAAATGGCACCAAAGGCTAAAAAGAATTTGAATAATTTTCCTATCTAATTTCTTAAAATATAATATCTTCTAAAATGATAACAAGGAAATGTTAAATTTTCGAGAAGTAAAATTTCAAAAAAAATTTTAGACAAAATTTTATTTACTTCCATCTTTTTTGGATGCTGCTGGTATTGCTTTACTAATATCACTACGAATACGTTTTATAGCACCAAGATGTGATGATCCATGCATAACACGTTCCAAATTTTCCACTGATTTTGCAATATTTTCATCTTCACGTATCAAATCTGTGAATCTGAAGAAACCACACAAAATTCTCAAACAAAACAATTTGAATTAATAAAAATTTAAAATAAAAAGAATTAAATTTGGACAAAAAAAGGAGATAAGAACTACATTGCACCTTCTTCTTTCCCTAACCGTAATATCTTGATTTCGATAACCGAGATATCCTTGATTTACCAATGGTGCACCATCACCCCATAGTTCACGTCGATAATCGCGGACACGTGCATTAAAGCCTGCACCACGTGTTGCAAGCAAAAGTGTATCGGGACCAATCTGGGAAAGTTAATCCGACCGAAATATAATTCCTTTTTTTGAGATATCAAAAATTATTTAAAATTCATAATTTCTTAGAGATACTATAGAACTTTGGAATAAACTTTTGATGGATTTTTCCGACTTCAATAAAAAATTTAAAATTTAATGATATTGTAAATCTAAGAAAAATCGATGTTAGTAAGAGAAAAAATGCCACCAATTTTTAAATGATCGTCAATAAAATTTTTACAAAGCAAAAGAGCGCTACTCGAACTTTAATAATATATTTTTAAAAAATAAACATGTTTTCAACTATTACAGCAATAGTTTTTTACTTGCCGAGCAAACCGCAGTTAAGGTATTCAGGTAAAAGTGTCAATAAAATAATTACCTGATAATGGCTTTCCCACGGGAATTCATCATCATCAATATCCCGTTTTTTGAAATCGATATCCTCATCATATATATTCTTTGGACGCAATAGTTCCATTTCTTCGCGCTGCAATTTTTTTGTATTCCGGAATTACAGTAAGTTCGACTGTATAGTAAAAAACGAATGAAACTAATGATTTGATGTCTAAGTTTAATGTTCATGAAAAGCGGTCTATGAATTTTCATCTAAATGTGAAATTAACATTAATCCCATATGAAAATGTATCAATCAATAGATCATCATTAATCATAATAGAAGCTTACTTCTTTCTTCCTTCTTTTTTTCATCTCCTCAATTTTATTCATGAAATTCTCGAATTCATCTTCATGCTTTTTCTCAATAGCTTTTTCTTCTTCGGGAATTTTTTCCACTTCAAGAAGTTGCGGTTTTGTTATTGTAATTTCAGCAATTCCTTGTGTTCCTTGTTTGGTGCCAATTACTACCTAACAAAGATCCGTCGTAAAATTTACAGCTAAGCAAATAAATGAATTAAAATTGAAGAATGAATTAATAATAAATGAATTAAGAAGTTTTATTAACCTCAATTATATTAATAGTTATTAAAATTTAAATTGAAATTTTTGACTAGAAATATACGAAACTTACTCCCATTGTATATTCTCTTTTCGGTGATAATAGTACAGGACTTTTTGTTCCAGGTAACGATGGTAAACTATGTGGACTTCGCGTATCTACCAATACATCTGAACTTTTACAGTTTTCATTTTTACGACACAAAACAATCTTGTCCATATAAATCTTGTTCATATCTGATCCTTTTAATCTCAAAGTCCTATAGTAATAAAATTTTTAATTGTTTAAATATGTACTACGCATAAGATTACCATCGAGTACTAAGGATTGATTTTCGAGTCCTTCGAGGAAAAGTGGCGCACCAATTGGAATGCTCGGATCTAACTGTATTGGATATCGATACTGAAATTTTACAAAAAAAAACTCAAAAAATTTAGTTCTTTCTTGCTGATATCATCACAATTCAACATGAGGTTAGCTATAAAATGCTAATGAGCAATAAACTCCACAATGTTTAATTAGAATTTATGAGCTCAGATTGCATAAACTAGTAGTTAACTATTTGAGCCTTTTTCACCATGGAATTCATTAACAGTATCAGTTCCGATTTTCAAATATATTCTGTTGTTTTATAATCTATACATCTCTTTCATTCATCTGCTATGGCATCACTTCTTCTAACTGATTTTTTGAAATCCCAAAATTAGAAAAATTTTCCCAGATAAAACTAAAATGATTTGATTCAAGATAATCAAGCTATCCGTCTATGTATTTCACAGAGTTACTCTTTAAATCTTCAAGATATTTCGTGCAGTCTTTTTGATAATTATAAACGGAAATCTATCTTCAGTCAAAATATTTAAATCCGATTATGTTCTATCGGTTTTGTAAAATGAGATATGATGCTTCATGCCTTATCATAAGCGTCAACATCATACATATTTACTTGAAAATATTAAATAAAACATAGAAATACCATATCAGTAGTATTGGAGCAGTATTCCGGAAGTGATGTACCAGCACTTCCTGTACCACCTGGTGAAGCAATTGGTGTACCATCCAATGATAATCCTTCTACTTGTGGAGTTGATGATTTACTGCTACTTTTCTTCTGTCTCATTTGTCTCTACAACAGGAAAAATTTATGTGATAACAACAAAATAAAAAGTTACCAATAAGATCGCCAAGAAAGAAAAACAAGTGAGAAAAATTTCTCACAAAATCTTTGATTCGAAAATTAGAAAATTAGAAAGTGACCTTTTTGCAATTAATAATTGATGAAATGTAATTTAAGCAAAATTTTCTTTTTCAACAAAACATTTAAAATTGAAAATTTTACATCGATAGCAATTAAAGATTCTCAAAAGATTAGTCATTCGAAATGAAAGAAGAAGAGGAAAAAGAAATAATTTTAATTCTAAAATAATTGATAAGCAAGGATGGAGGAAAATAGACGAATTCAAGAAGTAGTGAAAAAAAATTAACTAAATTTAAAATCGCTCATAAAGTTCAAATGTCTTCTCAGAAAACTTTTTCATTCAAAGTAATAAATCGATAAACCTAAAGATTTCGCTTTTCTCTCCGAAAGATGGTTGGCGAATTAAAAAGAAAGAAACACAGTTATTTTGCAATAAATTTCTTTATTGTTAAAATAAAAAATTTAAATAATTCTTTTGGGTGTTATAGGAAGCCTAAGAATAAACGAAATGACATTAGGAAAATCGGTAATTAAATATTTTTAAAACTTATCAATGATAATTCTTTTAATGTTTAATAATTATTAATTTACTTTTTACTTTTCTTTTGTTCTTAATTTTGCTTTTTTACTTTTACTTTTTATCTTTAATTTTTAGTTTTTATCTTTAACTTGTATTAAACATAATAAAATGGAGAAATGTAAACAGTCAAGAGCATTCCGGATATATTCCGGATACCCAAAGGTTTTTTTTGATGCTAAAAAGTATCTTTCTTTCTTGTGAGGATATATACATTTGCACGGAAATTTCTACTAAAATGGAATAGTATACATAAATACCTGACCAGAATTTTCTCACTCCGTAATTATCAATAAAAAATATCTCACCTCAGATATTTTATGCAATGATTCTGGTTCATCATGTGAAACTAGCGAACCGGTTATCGATGTTTCTTCGGAAATATCTGATAAAATCCGATTTGCTATTTCTTCCTGAATTTCACGATGTTCTCCGTGAACAAGTTGTAATGGTAACAACTGAAATTGGAAACTATTAAGGGTAAATTTTGATTTTCAAAAATTTGATCAATCAATTCGTCAAAATTTTCTTCAAATCAAATAACAGGAAATTGATGATCGCTTAAGAGATCAAATTACGAGATAAACTCATATCCTTTATCATCCCTACAAAGCAAGGATTTGTTTCTGAAGCAGATGGCGAGATCGACTTCTAGTACAGGCTTTATTCTCTCCCGTTATCCTTCTCTCCCTCTCTCTTTTTGTATAATGAAGAATCAGAGAAGAAAAATTAATTCAAATATTCGAAATATCTCCAAAATTATATTCTTCTGCAAATCTTCTATAGTAAATATTACTTGAAAGTGGCTGCATCATTCTGATCTTTGATATGTCAAGTAGAAATCATTGTTTATAAAAATTTCTACAACATTTAACTTGTGCAATAGAAATGTAAACAAGAATTTTGATAGATCTAGATAAAAATCGATTTCTAGCTAAACTTATTTTTCAACAATCTTCAAAGTTAATCCGTAACACTTAAGCTATAAAATAAACTATGAAAATTATGCAAGATTCTTTTACCGTATCACCGAAAGAATCCGTCGAAATTTGATGCTTTTGCTGCAACAACCTTCGAGATGGTGTTTCGTCCTTCTCCTGTGGTTGCAAATGTCGTTGTTTTGTTTCACCCTCACGGATAACAATGTCACATGGTGAAATGCGATCTTTGATTCGTAAATAATCATAAATATCATAGGGTTCACTTCGAGCTAATCCTTGTATACATTGAGGTAAAGATGAACCAATTAAATTAACATTGGGAGCCTAAAAAGTTTACAAGGTTTATTTTTTGAAAAACGATTTTATATGTATATTTGAAAAAGAATAGCAAATGGTATAATTAACATGAATTTTGTTGTAAGAGCTGTAGTAATTCAAGAAGACTTCAAACAGAGATAAAATTTCGACAGTTATTTATAAAATAAATGTTAAAAAATATTTACATATCTTTATCATATTCACAAATGATTTAGAATTCAAATAATAAAATGAAAAAGTTTAGGATCAATAATGATTAAATTTCAAATTCATTTCAACAAAAAGAATAGAAAGAAGAAAAAATTTTAAATTGAGAGAAATCTAAAAATTTAAAAGTTTTTTTTTAAACAATTGTTTTCTCGTTAAATTGTAAATTAACAATTTGTAATTAACAATTTTTTTGATCTTCCATGCATATGAAAATTATCACAAAATTATCATAGATTTTATATAGTGTAATCAGTTAGTTCCACTTGATGATAATTACAATAATTTTTTTTGTAATAATTAGGTAATTAAGATTGTTTTTACAAACCTGTACAGTGCTCATTAATTCATCGGATAAAGTTTGCTGAACGAATACCCGTCTTTCCTGAAAGTAATTTTTTTTATAAACATTTATGCATAAAATTTAATATTTATATGTTAATTAATTATGCCAATTAATTTATGCTTTATGTATTATAAAAGAATAAGCATATATCTTTTTAATGATTAATATATTGATATTTAATGTCTATGTTATTATAATATATGCAGTACTAATTAGTATTTAAAAATGTAGAAGACTCTCATGTTTGAAATTGCTTATTAATTCATTTTTAAAATCTCCATTTGATTATTTTAAAAAATTACCAGCCATTTATGCTTATATTTAAATTCTCGTAAACATTCCGATGTTATCGGGGCATTTTCCAGGAATCCCTCCGAAAGCCATGGGTGACTCAATGCTTGATCAACATTTAGACGATTACTGAAAAATAAAAATGTTGATAAAATAATTTATCAATTAAATAAGTTAATATAATTGATGTGATAATAAAAGACAGAGTTTTAGGAGTAAATAAAATTGATATGAAATAATAATCACATATATCTTTTTTTTTGATAATAACTTTATTCTTAATTAAAAATCACCTTGGATCAAGAACTAGCAATTTTGAAACGAAATCCTTAGCATCATTAGAAATTTGATCGAATTCCGCAATATCAAGTTTATAATTACCCAACATAACATTACGTACTGTTTCATTATCATTGTCACCAAGGAATGGTGAGATACCGGAAAGCCTGAAATTATGTTGGATGTAATTCATATTTGAAATTACTACCTGCAAAGAAGTTAATCAAATTGGATCATCAAATCAAATGTTATCAAAAAATGAAAACTTACAAAACATAAGTAAGAGTACCAACACTCCATAAATCTGAAGCAAGTGTAACCGGAATACCAGCTGCAATTTCTGGTGAAACAAATTCTGGAGTACCCATTATATTGGCTATTACTTTACCCCGTATTAACCGCCTGGAATTTATAACATTTAGTTTAAAACTCATTTCATTGAAATTCAATTCTTCCTTTTTTTTAGCGATATGTTCAATAATTTCATTTTATGTAATATTTGATTTAGCGATATTAGCTATTTCTAATTTTTTTAAACAAAATGGTTTCTAGTTAATTGCGTTAAGATGGTTGATATTTTAATTGGCTATTTATTACGGCATCCTGCAACATCAATCTTTCAAGTGGAATTTGAAATAGTCACTTTTCTGGATTGGAAAATTGATAGGATGGTAATAGTAGAAAACTTTAACTATTATCAGTTATTTTCCAAAGTATAAGTTTACCATAAGTTAACTTCCATTTTATACTACTCAATACTACTGGTAAAACTTAGTTAACTTCCATTTTATACTACTGCAATACTACTGGTAACACTTAAGAAGAGAAAGAATTTAACTGAAATTATTTTATTTTTAAAGTAATAGAATAAAAGAAGAGAATGTATGATAAAAGATCGGTTTAAAAAAACACTTCGATTTTTCAAAGATTTAATCTTTAAAAAATATTTTTAAATTTTAAATTAGAAATTTTTCAAACAATAAATTAATTAAATATTGAATGATATGATTAATTTAACATTGAAATTCATATTGAATGAATTTGAAAATATAAATTTTCAAATAAAATAATTTTTCTTCTAAAAAAATAAAAACAAATATAAAATTTATTTCCAAAATGATTAATACCTGCTTTGACCAAAATCAGCCAATCGAAGATGATCATCTTCTAAAAGAATCACTTCAGGTCTAATATCCAAATGAGCGATCTTCCTATCGTGCATACATTTTAGCGCACATAAAAGTTGCTTCACAAATACTTGCACCTGTCGTTCGCTAGGAGCATGTCCTGCTGTGTTTTTCACTGGACTCGAAATTAATGAATCCAATAATGAACGATTCGTACTTAAATTAAAATTTAATAATAATGAAAATATTTGTTTTATGACTAATAATTGCTTAACAATAATATAATGGATTAGATAGTATTTGAATTGAAATCTGTGTAATTAAACTAATTAACAGTGTAGAAGTTCTTTGAACTTTTAATACTATATTTAAGTGATAATTTGAATAATTTAATTTCAGATAATCTTGCAAGAAATGAGAACGTATGAGATAATTTTTTCTTTAGCGATTAATGATATTTACAAAATTGTTCGAAGAGTGAAAAAGGAATAATCCAACAATAATGTTAAACATTAATAAGTTGCCAAGTAATAAAGATATAATATTGAGATATGAAGGTAATATATACTAAGAATTTTAATGCTATTGAGATATGAAGGTAATATATGATAAAAATTGTAATGATAGTAATAATAACAGCAAGATCATCGTTATCTATTATAAGAATCTATGATAATAATGATAGTGATAACGATAATGAATATAATAATAATAGTATAATGATAAATAATTGCCAAATATTTACTCTTTTTCAAGAATGAATAAATTAATGAGAGATGAAAATATAGAGGAAAAATAACTGTAAAGTTATCTTTCGGAATTTTTCAACATTTATCTGTTCAAGCATAAACCTTCCACTTATGCGAATTAAAAATATGAGAAGTTTTATTTTATGAATTTTTTTATAAATAAAACAACAGAAAAAGGCTGTCATTATCTAAATTGTATATAACTTTTCTTTGTAATAAAGCAAATGTTTGTGGTACTTTCAAATGGGAAAAGAGAAATTTGACTGAAATTAAGAGAAACGAAAGAGGTAAAAAGCTTATCTTATAGGATGAATAAATGATTTGATGGAAATGAATTGATGCTAACATTAGATTTGATAAGGTAGCATTGTAACATTAAGTTTGATATTGTAATATGAAAAATTGAAATGAATTAAAGGGATAATAAATATTAAAGTTATATTTCTCGTGATGTCAAAAAATGAAACATAATTCTGAATTAATAGATTTATGATAATGATAAGATTATTTGATTGATAGATTATAGTATGGAAAATTAAGATGATGGATATGATAGTATGGAAAATTAAGATGAATTGAAATTTATAAAAGTATTATAGTTGTATTTTTTATGCTATCAAAAAATTGAACATAATTCTTGATAAATTAATTCATGATAATTCTTGATAAACTTTTTGATGAATTGATAAATTTAATTGAGTGATTTTTCAAACTTTCATAATTGAAGTATTTGTTTTTTCGAAGATAACGAAGATTTGTAGTAAATTCCTATAGATAATGATAGATTATTTATTTATTCATCCATTTAGCTACTAATCGTTCTATCTAGTTATCTCAAAGTTTCCTTCATCTTTCAAATTTATTAAATTAAAATAATATAATTATAAATTTAATTTTTATTTAAAAAAATTTACCGGACCAAATCGTATACCATCGTAAGACAATAGAATATAGTGATAAATGTTGATAAGCTAATGAATAACAATTATCAATAACAACAAGAAGAAGAAAAGCAGTTGTAATAAAAACGAGATTGTAAAAAATTCAATATCGTTGATAGCGGTGGTGCAAGCGAAGAGGAAACGAAAGATCCGGAACGAATATTTTCACTACTCATTGATTTCATTCTAATCATTACTGTCTGTCTAAATAGCCAGTATAGCATTTCTCATATCATGTTGTTCATCCTACTTTCATCTATCCGTTCCTGTTCTCAATTTTTTCAAAAGTTTTAAATAACTAGAAGAAATATTGATCATATTTGCATTCACTTCCTACATTCAATTTTTGAAACAGCAAATAGCAAAAGAAACTTGAATGACGAATTATGAGAGAGAGAGAGAGAGAGAGAGAGATAAAATATATAAGAATGATTAATTAATTAATTAATAAATAATTTTTTTGAAAATGTAAAAAAAGAAAAGTAAATATTTTAAGTGCAAAGAAAAATAAAGCAAATATTTTAATTTAAAAAGAAATCTTTTACAGTCATTTTCAATGGACCGATTAAAAAATTCTTTTATAGTTATTTTCAGTTGACAAATTGTTCTTTCATCTTAATTTTGGTTTATCTATACTTTTTTTATGGAATGGATAAAATAGGAATGAATAAAATATGGAATGGATAAAATATGGAATGGATGAAATATGGAATGGATGAAATATGGAATGGATGAAATATGGACTGGATGAAATATGGAATGAGTGAAATATGGAATGGATAAAATATGGAATGGATATGTCCATGTAGCAGAAAAAAATGTTCATCAAAAAAGAGGCCTGTTATAGTATTGGTCAGTAAATTCAATATTGAAAATGACAAAATCTTTGTCATAAAAACAATGAAGAAATTAATATTTCAAACTCAATACTTTTTTTAAGCTTGCTTTATTTTTTTGTTTCTCTTAAAATTGCTTCATATATTTTTAAATCATTCTTTCAAACCTCTCAGGTTATTTTTAAATCTGCTTTACACATCGTATTTCATCAGCAGAATTAAATTGATTACCCTCCTCCATCGCTTCAAATTTTTTAAACTTTTTAAAAACTAAATTAAACGCACGAGGAATTTGATCCTAATGGTTGTTGCGAGCTAATTTCTAAGATTAACTGTCAAAAGCAAAGGATATCACAATCATAAAAATATATATTCTTTATGACCTACTGACCTGCATATTCTGCTATTTTTCCACTATCTCAAATTCTGTAGATATCAAATGCTTAATATTATTTCCTATTTTACTACAACATTATACCATATATTTCATTGCTATTATTTTATTTCAAACAATTAAATTTTGAAATGCTCATATACTTTCATGTACGTTCAGTTTATCATTACTAATGTGTGTTAAACAAATTTGTCGTTGCTTAGAATTAAAAATTCAATTCCCAAATAAATTTTCCTTTCTACTTTTTAATTTATTAAGAAACAAGTACTAACAATTATCAATGTATTAATAATTATTAAAATTTAATAGGATGATTTCAATAACCTTTTCATCATTTAAATTCACTACAATGATATCAACTAAATTAATATGAATAGTGATAAAATTCCATTCGACTACACCAATATATCAATCGATTATCAATTCTATTTCATACTGTATAATTCATGAATATGTCTTTTTCGATGTAAAATCATTTTGCTAACACATCCATAATCGAATTAACCGATCGTTTTTTTCATGCGTACAAATTCTTCGTATAATTATCTTTTGTTAGATTAATTTAAATTTATTTCATTACCTATGGAATATGCAAATAAGAGGAAGATATGAATGAAGTTGAATTGAAATATTGAAAGATTTTATATAGTAATTATTGTTAATAATCCTTATTAAATCCAAGAAATGTCATTATTCAAAGATTTAATCTAAGATTTTAGCAAGTTGGCCAATAGTTAGTTATTCAAAAGTTATCTTTTCGTCTTTGTAGAAAGAAATGAGAGATCTTTCTCCTTCTTTGAAATAAACTGTTTCGAAGATATTAATTAGCAAAACTAAGTGAAGTGAAAGAAAAATAAAGCCTTTATGGTTTTTGTTTATTTATCAACAGTGGTTTGAAATTGAAATAACTTGTGAAGTATTTCGTTAAATTTGTTTTAGTTTTCGTCGAAATTAAAATGTCTTCTTTCACTTCACTTAGTTGCTTTTTCAAAGCCTTTCTATCAATTAAAATCATTTTGAGAATTAAAAAATTTATTTGTTTTTATCTCACTACTAGCAATACCACATTATATTCGATTGATTCGATATGAATTTACGAAATTAAGTGATTCCAGGAATTCTCGGTATGATAATAACGCAGTTTTTAAACTTTCAGAAACCATCTCTGAATTCTGCTTAATTAAATCAATTAAGAAATCAGTTAATGAAATGACTGTAAGAGAAATCAAAAAAAGAAATTAGGTGATTCAAGAATTCAGGATATGATAATAATGCAGTACAGTTCCAGATATAAAATCTTTTGGAATTTCAAAAACAATGAGATTAATTACCGTAACTAATTCAATTACTGTAACGGTGGAATAGAATTGCAAGTATTTTATAGTTTTTTTGTCAAAAATTTCATCCACAATGCAAAGCCATTTTTGGTATTCTTAAATGTTAATTAATTGAAAATAAATATTTTTTTTAAGAATGAAAAATAAATAAACAAAAAGAATTAAAGCCAACCAATTAATCAATTTGCATCATTTTTTGCATTAAATTTTTCTTGCATTTTAAATTTATAATAATTATATCGGAATTTTTTCATCGTTAAAATCTCTTTGTTAATTTTCCATTTAAAATATTACTTTTCATAGATGAGAACGGCAATGCCTTGATCCATTATAGCCTGATGAAGTTGTATAATATTCGGATTGTCCAAATTATTTTGCATTTCAATATTACGTGCTAAATTTTCATCCAATGCATATAATTGGGCCAAGAAACGTTTTTTGGTGGTAATTTCGGTAACATGAAATGGTGCTCCAGCGGCTGCAGCTCTGCAAATACAGAAAACAATAACAAGACCTCGTTTTGAACCTAATTTACTATAAGTTCCATTAATTAATTTAATTTAGCTAAACTTTCAAGTAAAAATGCTGCAACTCTCTCTCCCTCTCTCTCTCTCTCTCTCTCTCTCTTTCTTTTGCTAATAAAAAATCTCTCTCTATTGCTTATTTCTTTGGAATCATTTAAAAAATCCATTAAACTAAGATGTAATTTAAATTTTGAAAACTTTCAAAAATTATATCAATTTTTAGATTTTCATTTCCTTTTTTTTTCAAATCCACAATTTAAACCAATTTATATTGAATAATGAGAATCATTATTCAATATAAATGTTATAATATCAAAGATTTTTATTTTCGTGCAGCATTCTACTTTTATTGACAAGAGAAAGTGCTTTCGTGTGCTGTGAGGCCTTGTTTAGCTTTCTGTATTTGTTGTAGCTGAAGAAACTTTTCAAATCAATGAAAGTTCATTTCAAAAAAAGAAAATTACCAAAATTCAAATTATTTTAATTAATTCGATCAAATTTAAATTTCATTGAGTTTTGAAAGTTTCTTTTGCTATTCCATTCTGAATTTTTCAGTTTGGGAAGGAAAAGTTAGAAAGAAAAATCAATGCACAAAATTTGGATTATTTATCTGAAAAAAAAAACGGTAAAAACAAAAAAGGCACAAAAAATTTTAAAATTCCAATACGAAATTTCATTGTGCAATGATACGGTGTATTGCCGGAATATTTCACCATCAGAATTTCACGCCAAGAGCTAAAAGGCTAAAAAATCTTGAATGGCTGAAACTCAGCAATCGGAAAAACGAAAAACGAAATTAAAGGTGTCAGAAAGCTATAACAATACCCATTTTAGAATGATATATTTAATTGATGCACAATTAGCCATTACTCTTTCATTTTGTCAAAGAAAGTAAAATATTGCGGAAAATGAAAATTATTGTCATTTTTTCAAAATTTATTAGCAGCCTTTTTCGAAATACATCGCAACGGAACATATTTGCAGAAAATTATGAGTAATTTCAACAAAAAAAGAAAGGAGAAAGAAATTTGGCGCTTTTTAAATTTTCAATTTTAAAATTTCTAAAATTTTGCAAACAAAGTGAAATTTCCATCTTTTTTTTTTAAAAATATTAATGCTAATTTTGCTAAAACAAAGCCACACATTTCTACTATGCAACTTCCGTAATCAGTGTGTATCGATTAGAAATCGATCCATTAATAAATTAACGTTATCACAGAATAGAAATTACATTAATAGTATGAACTAGTGTAAGCTCATGATAAGTTAACAATTTGAAATGGATAGTATTTGCATTATCAGAGGGAAACACTAAAATTGAATGTCAACCACCAATTGATAATTATTTCATTTCACGGGAAAATGGAAATATCCCCAATTTCATTAAAAATTTCTGAAGCAAAAAACAATCTGCTCTAAGTTAGCTTCAATTTATTCAATGTAAGTGGAAAGAGAAAGAGAGAGAGAGAGATTGTGTGCCTCAATTTGAAGCATTATACTCGTACTTTTCATCGTTTTCATCAATTTCATAAATTTCTCGAACTTTACGAGCTTCCAATGCTATGCGAGATTTTTTCCTTTGAATATCATGCATCATGCTGAAGTCTCCATCAGCTGAAATTTAAGAAAAGAAAAATAAAAATTTGAAAGCATCAAAGTGATATGATAACATACACTATATCTCATTTTGTTAGTTTTACTGTATTCTACCTTTTATAAAAACAACAAATAATGATTATGATAATTAAATGAAATAATTAATAACTGAAGAGTGAAGATTACAACGAATAAATTGTTGTAAAAATTTTAGCAAAGGTTGCTATATGGTTTTAGAATTATTAAAAGCTATGGTATACTGTAACAATATCGTAAATTCCTGACCATTGTAAAAAATGAATAATTAAGAAATAAAATAGAATTTTAATTTCAACCTAGTAAAATTTAATCGGCAAAGAGAGAAAATTTAATCAAATTCGAATAATTACAATAATGCAAGTCTATATGTATAAAATAGTTTCTATGCTGGTAACAATAATAATAATAATAATAATAATTATTATAAAATATATTTCAACCTCCAATAGTTACTGAACATGACGTTGTTGTTGTACCAGCGTCGTTTACAGCTGTGACGGAATAAACTCCACTGTCGCGCCAAAATGGTTCATTGATGATCAGTGAACATAAAGAGCCTTCACGTGTAAAACTAACATGGGATGATTCTACAATTGGTCTCCAATCCTGAAAAGTAAATAATTTAAACAATTTTAAAATTATAAAAACTTTTACACCATAAGCTAAATATCAATTTGAATGATGACATCACAGTAATGATAAAAATAATCACTATTATTTTTATCATTTATGATAAAAATAATAGTGATTGTTGCACTAACAAATACAACTATTTGAATACTGTTTGTGATAAAAAAGAGTGATAAATCTACATGCTAACACCTTTCAAAATGCTTAGGACTTTTTTAATTTCGAGATAAAGCAAAAATATGGACTTTTACTAAAACTTTAACTTGGAATGAAGCATTCATGACTTTACCTTCATCCATTTGAGTTCTGGAAATGGACTCCCTTCAATACGTACATCCAACCTGAGTGGCCTACCGTCGGATACTACTTTATTAATCAAAGGCTGGATAAACCTTGGTCGTGCTGCAAATCATAAACTTTATCGATGGATTGGTAGCTTTAAAATTCTATATAATAATCTATAAAATAATTACGAAATAAAAAAGCTAAACCGTCTAAATTATACTATTCAGGAAGATGGTATTATCAAAACAGTACTTATTGACATTATATAATCCAAAATGGTCTGGAAAAATTAAAAGATCTCGAAAGCATACCACCGAGATCAACTACGATATTTTGCTGGGCTTCACCATACTGATTTGTTGCAATACACTGATACTGTCCAACATTTTCCTTACTAAATCCATTTATTATGAGTGTTGTTTCCATGCCAGCATGTGTTAACACCCGAATTCTGTAATATAACTCAAAGTAAACAAAATAAAAGAGAAATAAACAAAACAACATGCAAAAAAATCACTAATGAATTGTTTAATTAAATTAATTCCTATGAATAAGAATGAAAAGCAGTATTTTACTTAGATGTAGGCCCCGTATCAAGATTCATGTTGCAGAATTTCCAAACAATCGTCGGGTCAGGATAACCGGATACACAGAGCGTTATTGAGAGCGTATCATTTTCTGCGCAGAACCGTTTTTCTTCAACACCAGGAGCAAACCATGGTGCGCATGCTAGAAATTTAGAATGTGGCTATACCCTCTAATATATTCGATTGCATATACAGTCATGCATTAACTTCTTTTGATCATTAATTACTTCAGCTTTACAATAAATTTGATGAAATAAAATAATATCCAAAAGAAAATAGCAGTACCGTATTGTTGAGCATAAGCCTGATCAAGAGCTCGTTCAGCATACGGGTCAAGTAGAGGGATAACTCGTTTGTTCTTATCAAGTACCGGTTGCGGGCGTGCCATCAGTCGAGATGGTGGCGAAGCAGGTGATGGATCACTAATTCCGTAAATATTCTCCGCACGTACCCGAAACTGATAACTTTTACCAAGTTGCAAGTTTCGAACTTTGCATACGGGCTCAGGAATGTTATAATCGAGCTGAAATTGATTTCAATAAGATAATTTCAAAGCTAAAAATCAAAAATACAATCATTACATCTGCTGTTTCATAACATTATAATTCATCATTCTTCTTAGTTTACGACTTTCAATTCTTCAAAATTCTCAGTTCCGAAAAATTATGTTTTTGAGAGTTGAAAATTACTTACCAGAACCCACTCTTTTTCAGGTAGTTCGCGTATTTCAATAACATATGTTACTTGAGGATACCGTGGTGGCGCTCTCTTGGTTGGAATCCACGAAAGTGTCAAATAATGTCCAGTAACTTCTTTAATGAATGGACCACGATCTGGTGGCGTTGGGATATCTAAAATTTTCTTATAATAAAAAAATTTTGTTGTAATAAAAATTTTTGTTATAATTTTGTTATACATGAAATTTCGTATAATTACTCAAGAAATCATATTTATTAAAGATATGATTTCTTGAGTAATTATACGAAATTCAATTATGCTTCGAAAAGAATCTAATGACTTACTGTGATGTGGAATTTTCTTGAAACCATATTCTTCTGTTAGATAAGGTGTAACATCCACGGAACCGTCAAATTTGATAGAATCCAGGAATGGTACTGCAAAAAATAGCAAAAATAAATTTTTCCGTAAAAGAGAGCCAATAAAATTTTCAAAATGACAAAAAATTTCATCCAAAAAATCAAAAAAGATGAGAAATGAGAAAAACTAAAATTTGAAAAAGATAGAAAATAAGGCCTCCTCGAAATTTCATTCGTACTTAAATTTTATTAGAATTTATTAGAATTCACTCATCTATTAGCTTACCAGTTACATCCAATACTGCACTACTTGAAGCTTGGCCTTGAGAATTCCTAGCAATTGCTACATATTCGCCTGCATCTTCGGGAAGTGTATCCATAATAATGATAGCATGCGATCCGCCACCACAAGACTGAATACGTATTCGACCACCGGGTATTATCTTTTTTCCGTTATGAAACCATTCAACCTGAGAGGTAATAAATCATAAACTTGCTACACGATGATGACTAAGCTTAATTTCCATCATTAAATTTCGGTCTTGAATTAAATTATGGTCTTGATAATGGTCTACTTTCTATCTCAAACAATGATTGGTAATTTCTGGTTCTTCGAAACAATCAAACTTTTAAATGAATCCAATCTTAAAATTTTAGTACAAATTTCGAAAAAATTAAAATACCTCGGGTGGTGGATAACCAATTACAAGACAATCAAATATTGTTGGCATATGTGAGAAGACATGCTTATTTTTGAGTTGACGAATAAATCCTGGAGGATATGGCATACCACCTCTGCAAATTTCACTATTCACTGATAATTATTTACAATTCATGAAGCTAATTTACAATCATTCTTAATCGTCATCTCTCTTTAGCTTAAATTGAAACTAAGATTAAAAGAATACTACTGCTTACCGATCTCGATCATCTTCATATCCTGGTACTTCTCTTGGCCTAATGATCGTGATAGCCCCTTCGGTACGTGCTACGCCAAGTTTATTAGTAGCTTCTAAAGCATATTCCGCTTCATCTTCGGGTGAAGCATTAAGAATTACACAATGATGTATACCACGTTCATCGGTCCATACTACTACTGGACCATCTGGTCCACTGGATTTTAATTCTTGACCATTTTTAAACCATTTGACCGTTGGAGTTGGCCAACCTGATGTGCACACTTGCATTTCAATAGTATTACCCTGGAAATTAACTTACTCTTAACTTTGCTAGAGTAGCGAAGAAATGGAAATATAAGAAAATTGAATTAAGTTTGCACCTGATGTACACTCATGTTATATAAACCACGACGAATACGTGGTTTACTTTCTACCGGTTCCTCATTAATAAGTGTTTCCACTTTCTTTCCTGGCATTGTTCGATCACCTGAAATTAATAGTATTTTAAATAAAACGAAGTCTAAAAAATTTCAGGAAAATTTTTAAAAACCATCAGGTTGTTAAATTTGTAGTTCTGGTTTTGCAATATTAATTGTCTAATATACTAAGGACAATCTAATTCACTAAGGCAGCACTTCAATGATATCGATAGTTAGATTATCACTTACTAACAGCAAAATTAATTATTTATTTAATTAACTGTCCAATTTACAAATTATCGTTTCACTAAGAATATTAGAGAAAAATTCACCAAGTTATTACCTTCAAGTACAATCTCTGCTTTGGTAGAGGCAGTACCGTACTCATTAGTTGCTACACATCGATAGAAGCCTTCCGCAAAGAAATCAACATCTTTCAAAATAATACATTGTGTTTTATCCTCTAAACTTTCAATCTGAAAATTTCGAAGATTCACATTGTTTCTATGAAAAAAAGGTAAAAAACATTTAAATAATTTATTAAAATTTGTCTGTTAAAATGAATTAATTCCAAGTAAATAAATAAATAAAAGAAATAATTTCACCTTAATCTTATCATTAACTTCAATTTCAATGCCATCTTTGAGCCATTTGATTTCTGGGAAAGGTTTCCCATATGGAACACATTTCAGGACAACAGTATCACCAGCTTTAGCACGTTTCATGGTAAGTGGTGTGGAGAAACCTGGCGCATTACCTTCGCGAATTTCATCCTCGAAATTACGTTGTGATTTCTTTTCTTTCACTGCAAATTTCATTAAGTAAATGAATAAAAGAAAAAGGAAAAAACAATACCACAATTTTCCAATTAGTCAATATCATCATAAAAATATTTCAATGCTGGCAATAATTTATGCTTAAATAAAATTTATCAATTTCATCATTCGATTTTTAAATATTAGGCAATAATTAATGATTGAATTTAAGTATTAATTCTAATTACGAACATTGTACAGTGACTTCACATGTAGTTCTATCGGAACCATAAATATTCTCGGCAACACATCGATAGCAACCGCCATCAAATCGATTAGCATTTTTGACGGTCAATTCACAAGTACCATCTTCGCTTTCGGTCTATGAAATAATTACTTAGTCATTTAGTTTAAATAAATTTTTCTTGAAATCGAATTAAATAGGATAACTTTATTATTGAATAGATTAATGGCACAATATTCAATTTTGAAAATTTCTGAAATTCCAGAAAAACTTTTTTGAATCAAAACTTACCAAAGTACATTGACTATAAGAGTAGATACGTTCACCGTTTTTGAACCATTTAATTTTTGGACGTGGATCACCGCTAAATTTGCATCGTAATGTAAAGCTGTTATCTTCCATAACTTTGATACTCTCAAGTGGTGTGATAACACGTGGAGCACGATATGCATCGAATTTCTCACTTAAAAATGAAAAAATACTTTATATCTTTTTCAACAAATTCGAAAACATATTAGTACAAATTTTAAGTCATTAAAATAGTTAACCAAATTTAATTGGCAATAAACTTTTAAAGTGAAGATGTCATATATATCATTGATAGCTTAGCAAAATTGATATCATTTTTCAAGAAATTTGTACTGAAATGTTTGGAACAACGCTAGTTGATGAAAAAATCCTACACTAGCAGTAATTAATTAAGCGTTTTTTTGTTTTTATATCCTTTAAATTTTCGGAAAATTTTTTACCCATCCATGAAACCATTTGTTGAATCTTCGTATAATTTCTTTACCGTTGCAGTAGCTTTACTATGTGCTGTACCAAATGGATTTGTTGCAATTACTCGGTATATACCTGAAATTAAGATGTTTTTGTTTGATTATATAATATAATTCAACGCTTATTTCAAATATCAAATTACTCCTATTTATCAGTAGTACTCAAAATTATGCTAAAATATTGATTCATTTTTAAATTTTACCTTCATCATTTGCATTGCATGAATTAATAATAAGACGTGCTCGTCCATCTGAATCACATTCAATCGTAATTCTATCATCAGGAATCACTCGTTCACCATCTTTATGCCAAACAAGATCGGTTAAAGGAGCTCCTTCTATCTTGCACTCAAATTTCAACGGTTGACCTAAAAAGATATCGATGTAAGATCACAAAAAGATTAAATATTCCTATAATATTTTTGTCTCAAAATGACACTTAAATTCATTATTTGAAGTATCGAATTAAAGCAAGAAAACATACCTTCGATAACACGTGTGTCACCCAAAGCAATGGTGAAGCGTGGTGGTTCATTGGAAGATGGCTTTTGAATAAAACTTCCATCTAAAAAATCATACTTTAAAAACGCTTACAAGTAAAAAATAATGTTATATTGTTGATGAAGGGATTGACTAAATATCTAAAGACTTATAGAAATATTTAAGAAATAAATAGAAATATAAGAATTAAAATATTGTTAGAGCCTAAACGACATTGAGATCCACGTAAAGTTCCATATTCATTAAAAAAATTAAAGTGGAAATATTTTAAGAGATATGATACCATCTATGCTGACGAATGACTTCGTGGTAGCTGAACCAGCAACATTCGTTGCAACACATCGATATGAGCCTTCGTCATTCACATTCGCATTGTTAATCTGAACATTGTTTTAAATTTAACCAAGCACAAGGTGTAAATTTTTAGATGAAACTTGAACAATTTAATATTTCATATTAGTTTTTCTTTAAAAATTGATGCTTAAATGACTTGCGATCATTTCAGTATAAAAACGCTTACTAAAACAGAAAATATTTTGCAATCATTAGAATAAGCATCATTTTTGCAACAAAATTATTCATCGATTATTATAATTCGAAAATTATGCAGTCATATATTAAATAGTTAATTTATGTGATAATATGCATATCAGTTATTTAAATTATAATGTTTTAAATCTTGCTAAACATTAGGCGTAATGTGATGAAAAATTGTGACAGTTCAAACCTTTAAACGATAGGTACCAGTTGTAGCATCTATTTCCCATTGATAACGTAAATCATCGCGAAGTACCGTACCATCTTTGGACCTAAATAAAAGAATTTTAGAATTGTTGAGTAAAACTTTCTTAATTCATTTATTTGATAATGAATGGATGGAAAAAGATGGTTTTACTATTATGCATGCTTTACTAATGACCATGATATCGCGATATAATAATGCTTATGTATAAATTTCAAACAAATTTACCATTTAACTGTTGGCATCGGATCACCAGCTACTTTACATTCTAAATCAATTGTGGAACCTATATAAACAGTTGTATCTTGAAGAGGAATGATAAACCGTGGTGCTTCACCTTTGACAATCTTCTTTCCTAACTTTTCGATCGGTCCTATAAGAAATTCGAATAAATGCTTTATGAAATTTGACTGATTCAAAATTTGCTTTGCTCAATGAGAAATAGAAGAAATTTTTAAAATTTAATTAAACTAACTCTCAATATGAACAGTTGATTGTGTTCGTGCTTTTCCATTACAATTTTCAGCATCACAACGATAAATTCCTTCATCACTCATTGCGCATTCGTCGATTGTCAATGTGCACAAACCATCCGATGTATTTTCGATATTAATTTTGTTATGTGGTCGTAGCAAAATTCCATTGCGATACCTTAGAATTTTAAAAAAAAAATTGTATTCTTAAAAAGCTAAAATATTAGATATGGTAATTTTTGTAAAATTTAAAAATTTTTGATTAAAAAAATATAAGCATACCATCGAATTTCAGGTTTTGGATCACCAATTACGGTGCATTGTAAGGTTAACTTTTCACCACGTTCTAACCATTTATCCACTAAACCTTTGATGAAAAATGGCTCTTCGCTTTCTTTTTTAACTTCTTCTTTTATTTTACGAATGGACACCATGGAAGCGGAATTAGAGCTACCTGTAAGAATTCTATTTAAAGTTATAACTTCAAAATACTTAAAAGTAGGGGGGATCAAAGTCTTCAAATTTATTTTTTTCACATCTAAACATTTAACTTTTCTTACTTAACAAAAAATTATAACTTTTGTAATCTGAAATTAAATTTTATAAATCAATTAGACAGAAGAAATGAAAAAAAGAAAGCAAACCAATATCGTTGACAGCAACACAACGATAAGCTCCATCATCAGATTCCGTACTATGCTTGATTGTTAGCAAACAGTTACCATCATCATCATTCTCGATAACAATACGACCATTACTTCTTAATGGTACCCCATCTTTGTACCATGTTATAGCTGCTTTTGGTGATGCATCTACTTTGCATGATAAACGCACCGTTTCATCAATATCCGCAAATTTATCCGTAAGTGGTGGATTAAAACGTGGTGGAAATTCTTTTTTCGCTATCACTTCTTCTTGTTCTTTTACTGAAAACTCTCTTTCTATTCCAGTTAAACACAAAGAAATTAAAATTAAAAAATAATTAAATTGAAATGTTTGCTAGAAATCCAGGAAAAACGTGGAAATTTCACCAACTTTGAATATTAAGATTTGATTTGGTATCGGCAGATCCAAGTGCATTTGTGGCATTACATTTATAGGTACCAGCGTCATCTTTATCAAAATTGTTAATGCGTACACGGCATGCTCCATCTGGTGTGTTGCGAATTTCAATACGATCTGATTCTACCAAAGTTACACCATCCTAAATTATTCAGTAGTCAACTATTTGCTAATTTGCAAATACTTGGTCCGATTAAAAGCTTAAATTTATGTACTAAGAGCAAAACATAGTTAAACCTTTGTCCAAACGATATTAGCAGTTGGTTTCGCATCCACGTGACATTCAATTGTCGTGACTTGTCCCGCCGTTATTCGTCTATCCCACAGCGGTACATTAAATTTCGGTGGATAACCCTCTTCAGTTTTTGCTTTTCTAAGTTTTGACTCCGTCTGAATTAGTTGCGATTCACATTCCGCTTTCCCGTATTCATTAGTTGCAACGCATTTGATACGACCAATAAATTCTTCGGTAACATTTTCAACTATCATCGTCCAATTACCATCACCCATATCTTCAATTTTGACACCATCCAACTGTGTCACATCTTGGCCAGCAATTAACCTGAAATTATAACATTATTAAGACGCAAAATTATTTTTGACACATTAAAGTGTCGGAAGATCCAGTAAAAATTCGACTATCTAAACAAATAAATTAACATTAAAATTCTATTGAATTAGAATACTTACCAACTGAGTGTGGGATTTGGTATACCGCGAACTTTGATGTTGAATTCAGCTTTAGTTCCAATTTCTGCCACGACATCCTTAAGTGGAATAACAAATTTCGGTTCTGATGGTAATTCTTCAGCATCTAACACCCGAACATTACACTCGGACTTTGATTCACCAGCGGCATTGATTGCTGAAACACTGTATCTACCTGCATCTTCCCTCCTGCTATCCCGAATACGTAAGGTTGCGGTACCATCAAGGGCCATACGCATTACAATCCGATCATCTTTAGTAATTTCTGTACCATCTTTATACCTAAAATGTAACTTTCTTTTAATTTTATTTTCATCAAAATATTATTTCAGCACATCAATTTTAAATTCCGTTATATATTTCTGTTTTTCAAAAGTGGAAAGTTGCGCATCCATGAAATGACACTTAAAACAATAAAATCTTATATTTCTCTAATCTGATACGATTAAAAAATACCAACCATTTAAGTGTCGGCATTGGTTCTCCGGACACTTTGCACTTCAAAGTTAAGTTGTCACCTTCTGGTACATTAACATCCTCCAGTGGTGTAATGAAAGTTGCTACACTCGTAATTGGTTCCGTTTTCTTTGCTAAAAAGCTATTGAAATTTCGTCGTAACAAATTTAATTTATAATTTTTTGAAACTACGCAAAATTCTATCTGATAGTCAAAGCGAAAACTTTGACTTAATTTCAATTATTTTATTTTCAAATTTCAATTTCAAGTATTAACTATTTTCTTAAAAAGGCATAAATGAAATTTTACGTTTGACGCGAGTAATGGAACCACTTTGCACTTTGCCAAATTGGTTGGAAAGCACGACACGATATGCCGCATCATCTGATGACAAACTCTCTGGTATTGTTAAGGTATATTCACCAGTTTCAGGATTTTCAGTCTGTGAAATTAGTTTTTCAAAATTAAGTAGAAAAAAGATGGGATAGAAAATAAATAAACAAATGGGTAAACATATTAAGAAATTAATTGACAAGAAAATGATTTAGTGGAAGATTATAAAATCTTGGTGACGACAGAGAAAATTTGAAGTATTAAAAATTGAAAAACTTAAGGCATCAAGAATTAAGTGTTTTGATTTGTAGACACTCACAATTTGCACATGATCATCTGATTTGATTTCTTGGCCATTTTTGAGCCATTGGACCGTTTTCGGTTGCCCTTCAACTTTAATAGAAAGTTTGATCATTTCACCTTCATTTACTTCAATATCTTTCAAGTTGTCAAGAAGTTTCAACAGATCGGGCTTTAAAACAGTCAAACTAGCTGATGAGTCACAAACACCAGCTTTGTTGCTTAAGGTTACCTGAAATAAATGAAATTTTTTGCAATATGCCCCAGCTAATTAATCAACGGCACTAATTATGTCTTAATTGCTTTGAAATACTTGATTCTGCAGAATAATTCATTTAAACCTATTTGATTTACATTTTTTTTGAATATGATGAATAAATGTAGGAGTTCATATTTCATTAGTTTACATTACTTCCAAATTTTTATCAAAATTTACTGAAATACCTTATAGGTGGCAGTGTCGTCCAACGATGCTTTGACAATTATAAGCTCGAACTTCTTTGAAGTAATTTGCTTCGTGATCATGTTTGGTGAAGGTTTTATTTCCTGTCCATTCTTATACCTAAGATTAGCAAAAAGAAATTATATATGAAAATAAGAAAGTGAAATAGAAACTTCTATGAAAAGAAAAAATTTTAAAAAAAACATCAAATTAAATTTAAGAAGAATTCAAACTTCCTTAATCAAACAAAAACGTTATGCTTGGATTAATAATTGGTGTAATGCAATTGAAATTTTACCATTTGACTTCCCGAATGGGTACATTTGTTTCAACCTTGAAGAGTTGCTCATCACCTTCAGGGATTTCAGAATTCTCTAGGCCTTTAGTGATCTCAGGCTTCATGTCAACATCCACGTTACCAGTACTCTGTACTTTACCAATTTCGTTAATTACTTCAACACTATAGGCACCCGCATCCGTACTATCAACTTGTGGAATTGTTAGGCGGTACCTAGAAAAGTTAGGCCTTCAATTTCGCTCTTATTGATCCAATATTCTGCGAAAACAATAATTAGAAGAATAGATAACAATTTCAATAGCATTATTTAGAATTTAATTTGGCCTCCTCCCCTCTCCGCCATTTAATTGAAAGTAGATGAAATTAAGCTAAAAACAAAGTGAAGCAGACGAATTAATTTCGCTTGGTCATTTAAGTAATATGAATTTAACTCAAATCGCTCACGTTTGCTCATTAATTTTTTCAATTTTAGCTTCGGCATCTTTTGGAAGTACAGCGTCATTTTTGAGCCATCGAACTTCGGTTGGTTCACCTTCCACCTTGATTTCTAATATCAATTCATCACCTTTTGCAATAACCTGACAAAAATATGAATAATTATGTCTGAACTATTTAAATTTGATAATTGAATACTGAAATAATTGATGTTTTTCGCTTTCATTAAATCAAATCTAATACAGTATCACTTATTTAAAAAAGAAACAAAAAAGAGAAATAAAAGTTTACCTGATCTTCTAAACCTTTAATAATTTTTATTTCGCCCTTTGATTTCTTAACTGTTAATTTTGCAGATGACTGAACATCGCCAGCGCTATTCGATAAGACAACCTAGGAAAAGAGGCATTAAAAATAATTAGCCAATATTAAGAGAGGTCGAAGATATATAATGCTGAAGTAAACTATTATTTGGACAAATTTATGCAATGAAAAATAATAATACCTTATAATCAGCTTCATCATCAATTTCAGCTTTCTTAATGATAAGTTGAAATCTTGTCGTGTTATCTTTCATTTCAATTCGTCCACTTATAGGCTTCATTTCTTGTCCATTTTTATACCATTTAATAATTCTTGGATGAATATTTGTTTCAACCATAAGTACCGCTTGTTCAGCCTCTACCACTTCAACATCATGTAATGGTTTTAGGAAGCTTAACTTATCTTCAACGGTTATCTGAAAAGCTCTAAATTAGTGCCCAAAGTTAAAATAGGAATTAAACTTTCAAAATAGGTGCTAGAATAGTACAAGTAAAAAAAAATATATCAAATATGCGTTATCAAATGATATAAATCTTACAATGATAGTATTAATTATGCTATGAAAGCTATTAATGAGCTGATAACTTTAGGAGTAATGATGATATCAGCAAACATGATGATAAAGCGAATATAAATATAGTATCACCTCTCCTGAACTCTTAGCTTGACCTGCTTCATTTTGTACTTCAACCGAATAAGTGCCACTATCATTCAATGTACATCCCTCGATTTTCAAAACATAATTGTTCTCATCAATCTTTTCTTCTTTGATCATTTTGTTTGTTTCACCTGACATTAACTGCCCGTTTTTGTACCATTTCACTACCTTCGGCTTACCTGTCGTCTGTAAAATTAATTAATTTCGATTAAGTTAATCCATTCTTATTACCAAAATTTGATGAGATCGAAAAAAATTAAAGTGAAAAATCTTTCAACTTTTTAGATTAAATTTATACATCCAAAACTTTTCAAATTCAATACTCAAAAAAATGTTAAAGGAAACTAAAGAATCACCTCAATTGGGATTTCTAGAAGTTTTCCAACTGCAATAAACTGATTCTCAATTCCTCTTTTAATTGTAGGTTTCTCGGCTGGTATTTTGACTGTTAGCACACAACTCGATTCCACACTTCCTTCCTCATTTGAAAGTACAACCTGAAATTGATGAAAAAGTAAATTTCCATTATATTCCTCTAGACATTTAATATTAAAATTAAAAAAAAGGGAATATTAAAGGTTTTCGCAAACCTTATAATCAGATGCATCATCTTCCGTAGCATTGGATATTTCAAGCTGATAACATTTATCGTTTACTTTCTTCGCCTTTGATTTATCGTTTGAAACAATTTCCCTACCATTTTTATACCTAAAAATTAAATATTTTGAGTTGCTTAAAATATAAAAGAATAACTTCAATGAGCAATTTTTTTTTTAATTTTATTCTACCGTTGTTTCATAATGATAAATCATATAAGATTAAATTAATTTGCTTACCATTTAACCAGTTTCGGTGGTGTGTTAACTTCGACACCAAGTAACACTTTTTCACCAACATTAACCACTTGATCTTCTAAACCCCTTTCGATAATTAATGCTGGTAATTTTACAGTCAATGCACAAGAAGAATCAGCTGTATTATCGTCATCTCCGGTAATTACAACCTGAAATTTATAAACTAATAAGATAAAAATGATGAACAAAGAACTGAACTGAATATGTTACATTATTCCAAAGTTAACAAATAGTGTTAAATTTCAGTAAATTTCAAAATAGTGATCACGCATATATTAAAACTTTTCCATATTAATGATATCAGTAATTTCAAAATTAAAGTGAAAAAAAAAAACGAGATAAAACTTAGGTGTACTTTATATTCAGCAGTGTCATCTTTCTCTGTATCCGGTATTATCAACTGATATGCATTATCATTAAGCTTATTCGGTTTAGCTTTATCACTTGCTGTAATTTCTTTGCCGTTCTTGTACCTAAAAATTCGAAATTTATACCTTAAAAGATTTCCTCTAAATTTTAAATTATGCTTTACTTTTAATTTTCTCAAAAAAGCCAATTTGAATTGGAATGTTTGAAAGGTTATCACTTACCATTTAATTTGTTTTGGTGGCACATTAACTTCAATAGTTAGGACAGCCTTAGTACCAGCATCAAGTGTTTCATCCTCCAAACGCTTAGTAAATTCAATTTTTGGTAGTTTCACGGTTAGTTTGGCTGATGACTCTACATCACCTGTATCATTTGATAACACAACCTGAAAATGAAATTAATTAGTTCTTCATTCGAAATTAATTTTTTTAGAGTTCAATTTATTAAATTGTCATTAAGACTTAAATAGATCATGTTCAAACAATTCAAAATTAAAATTAAATTAGAACAAGAAATTGTCCTAATTTTGTTCTCATTTTATCAAAAATTTATCAAAATTTTATCAGCTTCTAGAGAGTTCAAATTATGAAAATCAATCAAAACTTCTGCTGACATTAACGGTATTTATTACTTGCTCTATGATTGCTTTCTGGAATAAATAAAATTGATCACTTTATTTAAAGTTTTAACCTTATAATCAGCTTCATCATTTTTGGTTGCTTTATCGATAATTAATTGATATTTATTATCACCAATTTGCTTCGTCTCAACATCTTTTGCTTCCACGCCATTCTTGTACCTGAAAAAACTTCCCAATATTTTTGCTCTTACAATAAGGTAATGTTTTCTTAATGCGACAAATTCAAATTTTTTCAAATTTCCAAAATTTTTATTTAATTACCAACCATTTGACTTGCTTGATCGGACCTTTGGTTTCAACTTCAAGTGTTACTTTCTCACCAATTTCAGCTATTGTTGGCTTTAAGCCACTGATAATTTCTGGCTTCTCTGAAATTCCACTTATTACAGTATGATATTATACACAATACGATTACAGTATCGAGAAATAATCGTTAATTATGGTACCTTTTGTAAGTGTAACATTTGCTTTAGATTTGATTGTTCCGGCATCGTTAGATACTTCAACGGTATATTCACCCGTATCATTTTCTTTGATTTCATCTATTATCAGCTGATATTTTCCGTTACCAAGATCTTTCGCTTCCATTATTCTATTATCTATTGGTATACCACCCTTTAACCATTTGATTTGTTTTGGTGTGCCGTCTAATTCGATCTGAAAATACAAATTTTAGCATAAAATGTCTTGTTTGAAATGCATAAATTGCTATCGATAATTTATTTTATGTGCATATCATTTAATTTTCAATTTAATTTAAATTGTTTGAGTCCTTACAATTTATTATACAATGTTCTACAAGATGAAATTGCCTACCTCAAGCACAAGTTTGGATCCTTTTGGCACGTTCTGATCTTGAAGACCTTTCCGGAAGACTGGTACTACTTCTCTTTTAAATACAGTTACTGTACAGGATGATTCAACGGTCTCGGTATCAGTTGATAAGACTACACGATAATTCCCTTCATCTGAACTTTCTGCCTCATCGATTTCTAAGCTGTATTTATGTTCCGCAGTTGTTTCCAATTTGGTCCGTCTGAAATTAATTTCACTATTTCCTGATCTCATTCGGCAATTTTTCTTAATGATCATTAGATTATAAAATACCCAAAGAAAAAATCTGGAAAAGACAGAAGTTGCTTCCATCAAATTTTCTTCCATTTTGATTCCAAGCCTTTTATTAGCTCATTTCAGTGCGAAACGTTTAAATTTTTTAATTCTTATTTTTCACTATTTCTTTATTATTTCACTATTTCATTATTTCATTATTTCACAATCTCAATTTGACAAAAAATTTATCCATACTTATTTGCTTTGATTTCATCCTTTCCATGGAACCATTTTACTGTTTTTGGTTTTCCTTCAACTTCAATAAACAATCGAATTTTAGTTCCAGTTTCCACCATCGTATCTGTCAAGCCTTCCTTCAGCTTCAGAGTTTCAAGTTCTAGAATACTTCGATGTTAAAAAACATTTTTGATAATTTTTATTTTTTTGGATACTTTATGAAATTTTAATTTTAATCCTAATAAAAAGCATGAACATTCGTGCATCTATATAACTTGTTATAATTTTATCTCTATATAAAAATTTAAAAATTAAAGCGTGGGATTTAATGAAAATACTTCACCATTAACAGTTAATGGAGCTTTCGAACTCATCGATCCGGCATTGTTTAACGCTTCACATCGATAATTACCTTGATCTTCAACATTAACTGAATCAATTACTAAACGATTTGTACCATCCGATGAACTTTCAATGCGAACATGTTCATTAGATTTTATTTCATTACCATCTTTGAACCATCTTACCTCTGGTACAGGAACACCAACTACTCTAAAAACAATATATATTAAAGTTAATGTATCAATAGCACTTTAAGCCAATCATTCATTTAAATTTCCATTACAATGTTGCAAAATTCTTTTTTGTTTTTCAAATTTTTTGCAAAATTCCACAAGCGCAAACTTTATGTAGCGTAAATGATACTAACCGGCATTCGAAAGAAATTTGTTCTCCTTCATTAGCCTGTGCCGCTTTTAATTCCTGTACAAATTCCGGTGCGATTTCACTTTCCACCGGTATTTCAAAATCATACCGCACATTCAACGTTGCATCGGTACGTGCTGTACCAGAAGTATTCTGCGCTTCACATCTGAATTCACCACTATCATCCTGTAAGCAAATTTGTATTATCATTGGACGATCAAAACTAATAAAGAGAAAAGATCCATTCAATTTAATCTGGTACCTTATTGACTGAGTTAATAATCAGCCGAGCTGTACCATCCGGAAGTGTTTCCTTTTTGAAATGGGCATCATTTGCGCTGATTTCTTCTTTGTCCTGGAAGTGTGATAAAATGTCACTCATATTTATATATAAAGCAAGAGGAAACATTAAAGAATTCTTGAGTAGCCTGAGACATACTATGAGACTTTCGAACTAAAAGATTTACCATGATTGTTTTTCTCAATTACTCAAGGTCAAGGTTCATTCAGCTGTGAGAAAGTGCGCAGAAAAAAGCGCAGTATATGAACTGATTAAATTTATTTTTATGAAAATTCCTACCTTGAACCATTTAATTTCAGGCATTGGTTCACCAACAATTTTACATTCGAACACAACGTTTTCTGACTCTTTAGCATAGATTCTTTCTAAAGTTTTCAAGAATGTTGGCGCTGCACGTTCTATTCCGCCTTCCTCCTCTGATATAGGAACTAAAATAAATTTCAGTAACAATTTTAGATTATGAAATTTAACATAAATTCAAATAGACTTCACTTTGAATTCACTATCGTTCATATCGCTGTTCTAGAATAAAAGATTTCAAAATTCGAAATTCGATAGAATTATTGAAATTCTTCAAAATATGAGAATGATGAGAACCTTGAACGGTTAATGTAACATCACTCCATACATCACCATATTCATTACTTGCAACACAACGATATTCTCCGGCATCTTCAATAGTTGCATTTTTCACTATAAGTCTTTGGGTACCATCGAGAAGATTTTCAAGTTGAATGTTTGCATTTTCCTTTACCATATTTTCACCGCTGAACCATTTGATTTCTGGTTTTGGCTGTCCTTTGACCTTACCCTCCAATACTGCTATTTCACCAGCAGAAACCTGAATAAAATTCGAATAACTATTACAGAATGCAGATTATTTCAGATCTTATAGTTAAAATTCTTGCAACTAACGTATAATAAAATAAAATCTTATTTTAACTTGTTACTCGAATTTTTTCTAGCTTCATCTTTTCATTTTAACGAACTTTAAAATCTTTCCACAATCAATTTTCATCTTACTAATGCATTCATTCGTCAAAAGTTTCTGAATTGCATATTTTACTTACAGTGACAGGTTTGACCGGTTCAATAAAATCAGGTGCTTCGCCTTCTTGCTGCAATTCCGATTCAGTTGCAATTCGAACAGGTCCAGCAGTCCAAGCAGCACCAAATGTATTAACTGCATCACATCGATATTCACCACTATCCTCTTTTCTAGCATTTTTGATTTTCAGCACAATGGTGCCATCTTCATGGTATTCAGTAATTACGCGATGATTTTGATCTAACTGAAAAAAAAAGGTTACTTTTGTCAAACCGAAATTTTAGAATTTACCCTGAAAATTCGAAAGTCACTATTTCAAATCATTAAAAGGTGCCATGAAACAATCCTATGATTTCACTTCCACAGATATCACTTCAGTTGGATATCGTTATAAAAAAAAATTAGTGCAAAACTTATGACTTTATATTAAATTAAAGATGTGCCAAATAGTCTTAATGTCGTAAGACTTTTCATGTCTTTTAATGCATTTTAAGATATATCAGAAGGAATCTAACTTGCTTTATATCTATTTTAAAGTAATTGGGAGGAAAAACCACCTTGATGCCATCTTTCATCCAGGATATCGTTGGTCTCGGTAGACCTTTCAGTTTGCATCGAAGGACAATTTCAGCATTTTCAGTTACCGTGCACGATTTCAAAAGTTCGGTAAACTCTGGTGGTCCTTCATCTTGTATTGTTTCCTTCTCTGTTTCTAAAATTAAACTTGAGCTGCAATTAAAAGAATCAATAAACAGATTAAACAAAGCTTCAGAAAGCAAGAGTCCAAAGTTAGCATAAAAGCGGAGTTGTCTGACAGAGATGAAATGCGGATAGCATAAAGATTTATCTTAAACAAGAAAGAGTTCTAACTTAATTTGGCACCCTAAAATTTAATTGATGTAAATTTTTTAAGAAGCTTTTGAAGCGAAATTTTAGCTTCGGGCACATAGGAAATGATTTAAATTTGTCAAACATAGGCGCATGCATATTAGCATTCAATTATTATTAAGCCTTGGAGTAAAAAAATAAATCATGCTTGAATCTCATTGCTACCGGAAACCTTCCAAATACTGCTTCATAACTCGAATTTATTTCTTCCAAAATTCTTTAAAGTTTCAGTACAAAAAATTGAAATTAAGTATTGAACATAATTTAAATCTTTGGATTAAAAGGCCTATTTTATTATCAATTAACTACGAAAGCAGTACATAAAAGACTTCGTGATAGACGATGCTTGGAGTAAAAAAGGCTCTGTCACAACCTAAAATACTGAGTTTCCCTTCGGTCCATGCAGATGAGTCACCAATGGAAGCAGTACATCGATAAGTTCCAACATCGTCTGTGGTTACTTTAGAAATTTTCAATTTCTGAGTACCATCAACAAGTTGCTGAATGGTGATATGTTTTGCTGATACTTCTAAACCATCTTTAGACCATTGTATCTGAACATCACCTTTGGCAGCATTTAAGGCACACATCAATTCTGCTGTTGAATTATTAACTGCGATAACATCGGCTAACGGCTGAATAAATCCTATTAAAGCAGATTCATCTTCCACTTCTTCCATATCTTCTGTTGCAAAATTAAGCTTTGCTGCAGTTGTTGCTTTACCGGATTTATTGATTGCTTCACATCGATACATACCAACATCTTCTTTGGTAGCATTTTCAATTGTTAGCTTTACCGTACCATCGTCAAGTTTTCTCACAATCAAATGTTCGCTTGGTTCAATTGGCTTATCACCTAAGTACCAACGAATATCAGCTTTTGCATTTTCATTCACCCGACACTGTATACTGACCGTTTCACCTTCTTTTACGGTGTGTGTTTCCAGTGGTTCGATAAACATTGGCTTAACTTCTTCCATTTGCATCTTTTCAAAACCATATTTTGGAAATTTAATTTTCCCAGCAATTTCAGCAGTGCCAATTGTATTGGTAGCAACACATGTATAGATACCAAAATCTTCTTTATTTACATTAGCAATTATTAATGTTTGCTTTCCAGTTTCATCATCCTTTTTGAAGAAATGGGTATTATCGATATTTATCACAACACCGTTTCTCATCCATGTTACCTCTGGTTTCGGATTACCAACAACGGTGCATTTAAGTTCTGCTTTTTCGCCTTCTTGTATTTCTAATTCACCAATTTCATCTGTAAATAATGGTGGCATCAGTTCCGAAATAACAGCTAATTTTGCTTCCGTTTCCTCGGTACCAGCTAAATTGACCGCTTTACAAGAATAGTTGCCCATATCTCCCAGTCGAGCTTCTTTAACTATCAGCGTATGATGTCCTTGTTCATCTTTCTTTGATAAGATGTGCTCATTATCAATATTAATCGGAATACCATCTTTCAACCATACTATCTCAGGAGTCGGTTTTCCAACTACTGTAACCGATAGTTGTGCTGTTTCACTCTCTTGCACTGAAATCTCTTGCAGACCTTCAATGAATTTTGGTACTTCAACAGTTTCTTCAACTGCAAATTTAGCTTCAGTTTGAGCACTTCCAACTATATTCGTAGCTTTACATGAATAAATGCCAGTATCATTTAAACGGGCTTCTTTGATGACCAATTTGGAATGCCCCGCATCATCTCTCTTCACTAAAATATGGTTGTTATCAATGTTTACCGGAACTCCATCTCTATACCATGCAACTTCAGGTGTTGGTTTTCCGACCAATGTTACCGATAATTCAGCAGTTTCACCTTCCTGTACCGAAAACTCCTTCAAGCCTTTTGAAAACTGTGGTAATTCATTCTCTTCTTCAACTGCAAATAATGTTTTGGTTTCCGACTCACCGATTTTATTGTAAGCTTTACAAGAATAAATGCCACCATCTTCTAATTTAGCCTGCTTGATAACTAAAGTATGATGACCACTTTCATCCTCTTTGGTTGCAAAATGGACATTGTCGATATTTATAGGTACACCATCCTTGCTCCAGCAAACTTCTGGTGTCGGTTTTCCGGTTACTGTTACTGTAAGTTCAGCAGTTTCGATTTCTTTTGCCTTGATTTCAGACAATTGTTTGGTAAACTTTGGTGCTTGTAGAAGTTCAAGTACTACAAATTTTGCTTTACATTCTTCAGAACCCGCCTTATTAGTTGCTTTACATGAATAGAAACCAGCATCTTCTAACTGAACCTGCTTAATGGTTAAAATATGTTGATTGGTTCCAGTTTCTCGAACGAATATTCGTTCACTGTTGATTTGCACCGGTGCACCATCTTTAAACCATTGCATCTTAGGTGTAGGTAAGCCGGTCACAGTTACCTTCATTTCGGTACTTTCTAGTTCACAAACTTCTATATCGGTTAGGATTTCCGTGAATTTCGGTGGTACAGCGGTTGACCCCACAGTAACATTGGCACTTGACGTCTCTTTACCCTCCGAATTAACCAGTTCGACCCGATAGCTTCCTGCTTCTTCCGGTTTTGCATTTTTGATAAGCAATACGGACTGACTTTCTTCAGTTCTTATTGTAATTTTTTCTTTTTCTTCCACGATTTCCTTGCTATCTTTAAACCATTTGACATCCGGTGGTGGAATACCGAGAAATTTCACCTCCATAATGATTTCATCACCCTCAGTAACCTTTCGATTCTTCAATACTTCGGTGAATTTCGGTTTTTGATTTATTTTTTTCTGCTTAATTTCTGCCTCTGATTCTATCATACCGACAGAATTGATAGCGACAGCGCGATACGTTCGAAAATCAGATTCCTCCGTTTTCTCAATTACTAGTCTCCAGTGCACATTAGAATTATCATGTTCAATAGAATGATGAGAATCCGAAGTAATACGAGTGGATTCCCGAAAGAATTGTACTATTGGCTGTGGTGAACCTTTAACGGAACAATCCAAAATTACTTTCTCACCTATGCTTACTTCTTTAGAAGTGATGTGACGAGTAAATTGTGGCGCTTCAGCTGAAAACAAATAAGGAAACAGATGGATAGAAAATAGTTGCTAATGATAAAAAGCCCCAGGGAATATAAATGAATTGTAAAATAATGCTGCAAAAAAAACAAGTCTTTAATTTATACCATCTAAATTATTTCTAATATTTCAATACTTATGTATTATATTATATTATTTTTACAGTGCAATCTCCGCAAAAGAAATTGAGAAAAAAAAATAATATATACTATCTAATTTGAATAAAAATAGAAAGGTCACACGACGTTGTGACTCTTTCTTTATCACGGCCATTATTAATATTCAAATTTCATGAACTTACCTAATACAGTAAGGATTGCCTTGGACTCTGCTTTGCCTTCAGCATTTTCAGCCAAGCATGTGTATTGTCCTCGGTCAGCAACATCAGCCGAAACGATAACTAACCGATGGATGGAACCTTCTGACTCAATGATTGTTTTATTCGTTTCTTCAGCTATCACAGTCTGGAAAAATATTGTCTCGATTTACGATTAATTGTGATGATCTACTTAATAGTAATTCTGTCCATCATTAAATAAATTTTGCAAAAATTCCAATTCCAATTATTTCTTTTTATATTTAAAAAAGAAACCTTTCCATGGAACCAAGCAATAGTTGGTGGCGGTTCACCGATTACTTTACATTCGAAAAGAACTTTTTCCGCTTCATTACATGTTTTGTCTTTTATGGCAACAACAAATTCCGGTGCATGTGTGTCCGGTTTCAGCAGCACTTCTGGAAAAAACAACTCCATCCTTTAACATCGCTTTTGAGCTTTTACACGAAATTCTCGAGTAAAATTTTTTTCAAACTCGATAAGGCAAAAGTTAGAAATAATCTCTGAAAGAATTGAAAACAAAAAGAATAGCTAGAAGCTCAAAGCAATATTGAAAAATTGTTTTGAAATTATACTAATCGTCTTCAAGTATTATATATACTTACCGATTACATTTAAAGTTGCCTCGCAAGAATCCTTGCCAGCAATATTTTCCACTACAACGGCGTATTTTCCGGCATCTTCTGGTACAACATCATCAATGATCAATTCACTGACTACGTGACCTTCCATGGTTCGAGTTTGCACACGAATTCTTGCAATTAGTTCTATTTCACGTCCATCTTTTAACCTTGAAAAAAAAAGAAATCCCACAAATCCCACGAAATCCCACAAAAGAAATAGCGAAAGAAATAAATGATTTACTGAATATACTGCAAAACCTCATCTCACTCTTTCACACAAATTCAACTCTGAAATCGGAATAGATTTCAGAATACGGTTACATAACTGGAAATTGACCACTTGCCATTTGCAACAAACGCCTTTGGTATCTGGAACGACACATTCGAAAATAGCTCGATGTCCACGTGCTGCTCGGGTATCTTTAATTTTAGTAATGAATTTTGGTGCCATAATTGGTGTCGGTGTACGTTGCATTTCCTCGATTGAATCTGCTTCCGTACCTAAATAAAAATGCTCTTTGAATAAACAAGTGAAAAATATACAAATTTGCAAGGAATTAATAACAGTATAACGATTTGAATTGACGCACCAAATTCTGGACCTTCATCAATGTTAAGCATATCTTCGGCCATTGCTTCAGATTCCGTCTGTGATTCTGAGAACATGTCTGAGGTATAAGGCTAGAAAGTATGCATTATTAAAAATTTTAACAGAGCATAAAATGTTTTTTCATATTTTTGATTTATGTAGATAATCGAATTGCAAATATCAATTAGTTGTGCATTTTTGAATATTGGAATCTATAAAAGTTATTTGAATTGAAATTTTGCTAATTAAGAATTTCAAATTCACTTACTCCCATGCTAGCTGTACAGGACACTTCACCAGCATCATTTTCAGCTTTACAAATGATTTCACCGGTATGCTTATCCTGATCGAAATTTTTGATCACTAGCGTTGATGTATTATCATCCGTGATAATAGTGATTTCATCACTGTTTTTCATTTCTTCATTATTAATATACCATGTGAGATTTGGTTTCGGATCACCCGTAAAAACTACCTAAAGTTTGAATATTATTTTTAACTTCAAAAAATAAAATCTTCAAGAAACTTTTAAATTTCGTTGAGCAAAAGTTCAGGTATTCAAATTGAAAATTTGTATATAGAAATGATCTAACCTTTTTTGTAAATATTCTAATAGCTATAGATCATAATTAATCTTTATCTTACAACTTCTACTTTTTTTTTTATTAATATTATAGCTGTACCAAAAAGTTCGATTTGTTTAAGTTACTGAAAATTTTTCATTCTAGCATTTTTGCGATAATTCTCTTTGCTTCATTTCATTCATAAACTTACCTTATGAGTAACCTGTGACCCTTGTCGTGCTCTCACATTGCTGAGCCATTCGATGAAATCTGGTGGCTCACCTCGTGGTAACACCAAAAGTGATGCCTCAGAAACCGCCTTACCATATTCATTTACCGCTTCACACACAACCTAATTTTGCAAAAAATTAACGTTATTTAATTTATCTTTAACAAAAAAAAAAACTTCTAAAATTAATTTTGAAATCAAATTTGGAAGAAAAAATTGTCGAAAAATTACGATAATGAAAATTTTTTTTTTAAACGATTTACTTTTCCAGAATAATCGCACGTAATATCTTTGATCGTAACGGTGTAAGTTCCTTTTTCTGCATGTATCTTAATGTTTTGTGATTCTTCCAATTTTTTACCATTCACATACCTAAATTATCATTTCAACTATAATATTCATTTTTAGAATTTTAGTCTACTAATTTTTGAATTTTATTTTTATTACAAATGGCTCTTTCCAAATTATTACTTACTGAAATAATTTTAATTGAATTATTGAAATAAATAAATTATTCATTCATATAAAATGCTAAACTGAACTAACCATGACACTTCAGGAGTTGGTTCACCCATTAAAACAGCTTTTAATTTCAGTGTATCACCTTCACGACATACAGCATCACAAAGTGATGTTTCAAATTCTACCGGTATTGGTGTTAAAACAGTAAGATTTCCTTGTGTTGTTACTTCACCAGCTTTATTATATGCAACACATTTAATAATACCAGTCATATCTTTGGTACAACCATGAATTGTTAACGAATGTACACCATTTTCTTCTTTCATTTCTGTATCTTCAGTTGCTATCACAAGCTATAAACAGATGTAAACTGTTTTGTATTTTCATCATTTTTAAATCTTTGACATTCAATAATTAAAATTGAAATTGATTTAAAATTTTTTACGATCATTTGGCAAAGCTGAAAAAGACTTTAAAAATTCCTCAGCTAATAGCTCAAAATTATTTTGCTTAATAATTTAATTAAAGGAAGAAAGAAACGATCACAAGAAGAAAATTTAGCACCGAGTAGGTTGCTATTACGATAAGTATATATCATGATATATATCGTAATCATCATTATGATATTATGCATTCGCAGGATTTCATATTTCCGAGTTGTTAAAAATTAAATAATACTTTAAAAAATCAAGCAATAATAAAATAATTAAATGTAGCCATTTTCATGATTAGAAATTCAAAAAATACCTGATCATTAATATACCATTTTGTAAATGGTACGGGATCACCAGTGATAATTACTTTAACATTGAGGGATTCTCCTTCGGTAACCGTAGTTGCCGGTATATCAGATAGGAAAGCTGGTTTTGCCATCGGTCGTTTTTTAGTCACTCCAATTGATGCCGAACAATCTGATTATTCAAAGGAAGATTTTATTTGCATCAAATTCAAAGGAAAAAACGATGTTAACAATTTAATTTTTTCTAACTTTACATTTTCAACTGAAATATAAAGTAAGAATTAATGATAATGAAACAATAGTTTAACGTATCGTTTGAATGTGTAGTAAGTTTGCAACATATTGTAGCATTTTATATGACCAGATAAGCCAATTTCAATAGCTCTAAAGCTTTCCAAATGATAAAATGTCTAGGGTCAAATGATTAGAACACAGCAAATTGCAACTTGCAACAAAGCAAAATTAAAAAATTGCTTGCTATTTAATTAATTTACATACCAGCCGATCCGAATTGATTTTCAGCTCGTATTGTAATTCGTGACTTATCACCTAATTCAACGGAATCAATTTTCAATTTCAATGTTCCATCTTCTTCTCGACTCAATTTGAAACGAGCATCTTTCAGTGGTTCACCGTCTTTCAACCATGATATTGTGGGAACAGGTTTAACCTAAAATTTAGTAATCAGAAATTTAAAATTAAATTCATTCTTCATTCATTAGAAATTCTAATTTTGAGATATCCTCCAACGTAAATTACTATAGACAGATGAAAAGATGAAATATTGATGGATTTGATTATAACCTCAGCAAGTTTAGCATCCATAATTAATTCTTCTCCTTCCACCACCAATTTATCTTCAATATTTTTCTCAAAAATTGGTGCTTTGCCGGTTAGCTTTACTGCTAATGTTGCCAACTGCTTTTTGGATCCGACACTATTCTTTGCCTCGCATGAAATTTCACCGCTTTGTTCTGGTAGAACATCACTTAGCACCAATGTATGCACACCATCCTCTTCAGTAATTTTGATATTACTAAAATTTTAATTTGAATCAAGATATGCGAATAACAATCAAAAACATTAAGATTAGATTAATTCATTTGGTATTGTTATTAAAATGAAACAATTATGCTATGACTAATTTTTCTCAATTTTATTAAGCTGAAATGATACTGTTATAAATTGGCTATTAGAAAAGGTAAAAATTAATTACTACTTATTTTTATTACAGTGAAATGAAAAAAGAAAAAGTGATGAATTATGAAAAAGAATACTGGTTAGAAAGCACTGCAACATACTTGTTGGGTGTGATTGGTTCACCATTGAGAAACCAAGATACTTCCGGAGCTGGATAACCAGCTACTTTAATCGAGAAATTAACCGTTTCACCTTGGTTTACCTGATGGCTCTTCATTTCAGATATAATAGTTGGTGGTTCCAATTTTTTGCTGACAGTTAGGATTGCGCTCGCTTCTACTTGTCCTTCTGCATTTTCTGCTTTCATTGTAATCTAAGTTAACATATTAATTTCTACAAATGAATGATCATAGTGCAATTTATGACCATTAATATCAACAAAGTTTCCTGAGATCTTTTTGATATTATGTTAACACAAAATATTTCAAAATAATACCTTCTTTCCACTATCAGATAGATTTGCTTTGAAAATCTTAATAGATGTCTTTCCAGTAGTTCCATCAAATTTCACGCCAATTTCGTTGCTATTCTCCAATTTCATCCCATCCATATACCAACTTACCGTTGGTGTAGGTTTTCCGGAAATAATAGCACTGAATTTTACAGTTTGATTTTCCTCAACCTCATGATCTTGCGGTTGTCTTAGAATTTCCGGTTTACGAGCTACTTCTTTAACTTCAACGAAAGCGCTCGACTCACTGGTTCCACAGGAATTTTTCGCTTCGGCAATTAATGTTCCGGACATGTCTGATTTAGCCTCATTTATGGTTATATGATATTTTCCTTCACCTGAAAATCTTGCTTTTATTCTGAGCACCTTTGAATAACGAATGCTTAATAAAAATTTAAAATGATGAAGAACTTTACTGGTGATATTGATTGATTGACATACCATGATCAATAATTTGTACATTTTCATTGTTTGTTAGCTCTTTTCCATTCAAAAACCACTTAATGGTCACTTCTTGGTATGGACGTTCGATTGCAATATCCCATCTTAATGGTTCACCTTCGTTTACGCTACGATCGATCAGATGTGTTTTGAATACTGGCTTTGTTAGATCTGGTTCAACCTGAGAAAAAAAATTAAATTTTAAAATTTCTTTTTTAAAAACAAAAGTGTAAAATTAAGAATTTAAATGTAAAAACTTTTGCATGAAAACGGTAGAATCTGATTTATTTAATTTTGAATTTTGCTATTAATTGAAATATCTTTACCAAAAAATTGTTGTAAATTCTCAAATAAAAAAACAATGAAATACGAACTTTCAAAACAACTTCCTTGCCTACCATACCGGCTGTATTTTCTGCGATAACAGCCACTTCACCAGCATGTTTCACGTTTGCTCTTTCTATCCTCATAATGTAAACTTCTTCGAACGATTTAATGATGATATTTGTATCCGATGATGACAGTTCACGTCCATTTAATTGCCATTTTACTGTCGGTGTAGGTTTTCCAGTTATTTCAGCACGAAATTCAGCTGCATCATTCTCTTTGATGGACAATGAATTTGGTCCTATAACATTTGGAATTGTTCAAGAAAGTAAGAAGGCAAATATCTGATAAAATAATGTGAAACAATTTGCTATGATTAGACATAACAGATATGGTACCTAATTTATGATACCACATTTTATTAACACGTTAACAATAAAATATTTAGGATCTAAGATGAAATATTGCAAAAAATTTACCTGTGATAATTTCAGGTGCTATATCTTTTTCAGTGACAGTCATATTGAAAGAAGAAAACGCTTGTCCACCTTCATTGGTTGCTGTTACCTTGATATTACCAGCCTGTTGTAGTGAAACTTTCTCGAATATCAGCACACTTTTACTTTTCTCATTTCTGATTGTAATACCTCCTACATTGCTCTACAAAATAAATTTATTTTTTAATTATACTCAAAAAATTCTTTTAAAATCTATAAGATAAATCTTTAAGTTGAAAAATGTTGCATTCATCGAATTTCTTTTCCATTCATCGATTAGATCGAAGTTTCATTGTAAAATTAAAATTCAGATTCTTCAATGACATTAGCATAGATGAAGTGAAAGAATAAATTTAATTACAAGTCAAATTGAATGATCGAATTTTATTATTCTTTTTTTACCTGCAAAGTTTTCCCGTTCAGTGCCCATTCGAAAGTAGCATTACCGTCAGTTTCAATGGTAACTTCCACTTTATCTCCTTCCTTGACCGAAATATCATCGAGTGCATTCAGGAATTCCGGCGCTTTCTGGACAACCTTTTCCTGGATAGCAATTAAATTCGCACTACTTTCCGCTTTGCCGGCTTTATTTGAAGCCTTGAAGACAATGACACCAGCATATAAGGCCGAATCAATGGTTAACTTAAAATCGGAATTCTGATGGGAGATTTTTACTCCTGCAAAATGATTTCACTTTTTCAATATTTGAATTTTACATATATACATATTTTATAAGAAATTTCGGTCACATATATTACGGTTAAAATTTTTTAAATTCATGAACACATAAATTGATATTTCAATGGAATTTGTGAGCAGCTAAAATTAAGCTGAAGGATGACTTACTTTGGAAAGCTTACTAAAAATAATTATAGTTCTCCTGGAATTTCTTTTTAAAAAGCACTCAAAAAAAACACCTGGCATTCCATCGGTCAGTTGCTTGCCATTGCTATACCATTCTGCGACAACCTCATTTGGTTCAATGGAAACCTCAAAATCAGCCATTTCACCATGTTTAACATTTTGATCATGAAGTGTCTTCTTGATTACTGGCATTTGTTCTACCGAGGTCTTTTCAGATTCCTGCAAGTTGCATTCATTTTCCTAAAACAATGTGGAAAGAAAGAACTATTGAAAATTCTACACCTAAAATTTGAGACCTTAAACTAAAAAATAAAATTCGAAATGAAATTTCAAACTTTTAGTTCTTCTTTCATATCTTTTTCCTGCACTGTCAACAAAGCGCCCGTTTCATCAACACCTAAAATATGATCAACGATTGCTTTACTTGCATTATTCCATTATCATAATGATATAAAATAATTAAATTATTTGAAAAAATTTGTTGTTTGTATACAAAATATTACCTATGGAATTTGTAGCTGTTACAGAAATAGTAGAAGAATCGAAAATTTTAGTGTCAATTGTAAGTGTTGAAACACCATTGATAGTTTCAACTTTGGCACCTTCCGTAGTTTCCCTAATTTTTCGACCACCAATAGACCACTGATATACAGGTTCGGGTACTGCAACTGCATGAGCTTGAAATTGAGCTTCTTGACCCTGTTGAACGGTAACATTTTTTGGACGATCTTCGAATTGCGGTGCTAATGGTTTTTTGTTAACTGTCAAATGCGCCAATGATTCTGCACTACCCTCAGAATTCTCCGCTACACAACGAATAATACCACTTTCTTCAATTTTTAATTTGTTGATTTCCAATTTCCAGCTACCGTCAAATTCACGAATTTTGACGTGCTAAAATATCATACTTTAAAAACAGAAATGAATCTGTTTATTAAATTTTTAACTCATTCATTTTATGAAAATAACAATCATGAATAAATCAACATGAAGATAATTAAATTTTCAAAATTTCAAATATGAAATAAAATGAAAGCGTACATCTGATACGGTTAATTCCTTTTCGTTTAAAAACCATTTCAAATTAGCCGTCGGTTCAGCTTCAACGCGAACCTCAAATACAGCAGTCGATTCTTCAATAACATTTGTATCGACTAATTTCTCAATAAATTCTGGTGCACGTTTTTTCTTTTCACCAGAAATTATTGTTAATTTTGCTTTTGTTTCATAACGACCAACAGAATTCTCAGCTCTGAAATCAAAATATAAGTGTTATGTTGAAAAAAATTAATTCATTTGATAATTCCATTTAATGCATATTTTGCAATAAAAATATTTTGTATTTAAATTTAAGAAAAAAATGAAAAAAGATCAAAATGACCTGCATAAAATAGTTCCTGCATGTTGTGCTGAATCAACAATAAGCTTGTGATCGGTAACTGATTGTGTTTCAATTTGTATTCCAGGTGTTGCCCTTTCAACTTTTTGACCATTGATAAACCAGGAAACCTCAGGATTTGGACTTCCACGAACAGATGTTTCGAAAACAGCCATTTCGCCATATTTAACAGTCTGCAAAATAAAGATTTTGAATTGAAAAGTTTTACCAATTTTTTCAACTTTGTTTGTAATATCTACAGAGTTCTTAGTTTGCTTTTAAGGCATTACATATTAAACTATACTGATCATAAACTTTTTCTCACCTGATCTTCAATATCTTTGATAAAAGTAGGCGGAAAAAGTGAATCTTTCTCAACAGGCTCCACGACAATGTGTGCTCTACTTTCCGCTTGTCCGTGTTCATTGACTGCAGTACAAATAATTTCACCGTTATGTAATTCAGCACTAGCTTTTGAAATTTCAATTCGATAGCATCCTTCACTTCTCTCAATAATTTCAATACCATTTTCACCGGATACAATCTGAAATGATTTATTATTTTTCAGTTCAGTTTTGCCATTCTAATCAGTAATTAAGATTTCGAAATTTCAAATTTCAGATCTGAAACTAATTTATAATACGATCTAAATTTCAAATTTCAGGCCTACAATTGATTTATTACAAAACCTAAATTTTTTGTAATTTACTCATAGTAAAGGCAATGCTAAAAAAAAATACATCCGTCAAGCGGATCTTTAAGCTAATTATGCAACCACCTAAATTGATAGCTGCTCTTGATGAATGGCATTTAAGTGATATTTGAACATTCGGTATACTTCGATGAAAAATTAATAGCAAACTCATTCCAATCAATAATTATTATCTATTAAATAATTTTGTAAAAAATAACTAACCGGTTTTCCATTAATCATAAACGATACATTTGGTTCCGGAAAGCCGCTAACTTCTGTCTCTAAAACAATTGTTTGTTCTTCCTGCGAAATTTTATCCTCAAGTGGACGTTCAAAATGTGGCGGATCTGGTGGTACCCGTACTTTCAACTGAGCATCACAACTCTGTGAGCCAAGTCGATTAATTCCCTAAAAAATTTTTATGAAATTTTAATTAAAATTTTTGTAAATATTTATCAGAATTCTGTTTTCCTATCTTTTATTTTTATTAATTCAAATCATTTTCAGTTCAATTTTTCCAATTTAGTATCATTTCATGATTTTTTCTAATTTAACATCAAAATTTTATCAATGCTAACTTACTTTACATGTAACGATACCATCAAAATGTCTGGAAACATCGGTAACTGTTAGAATATAAATCCCATCTTCACTGATAAATTTGATCTTATCTGACTCAGACAATGGTACACCATTGATCATCCAAATTACCTAATATAATTACATAGTTATTTGAAAACATGATGATAACAGGTAACAAAGTTAATATTTAAAGAAACTTCCTCTAAACCTGCAAAAATTCACCAATTTAACTTTATACATATTTTGCTGAAAATTTTATGATAAATTAAATGTTCCATATACTTTGGAATATGGCGATACATTAATTACAATATTACTATTGGACAAATGAGTTGCTTCCTTGAATTAATAAAAAACATTAAAACTTACATCTGGCATAGGATCACCGGTAAGAACTGCCTTAAATTTAACCGTATCTCCTTCATTACATTCGACATCTTCGATTACTGCCTGCAAAAATATTTTTAGATGAAAAGGTTATAATAAAATTTTTTAAAAAGAAATGCTATCAATCAAAACCGCACAAAAATTAACGACTAATTTCCGGATTTCTAAGTATTATATATATAATTCTTACATATTACATAACGACGATTTTAGCTCAAAAAATTATTGCAACTGATAAACCTGAAATTCAGGTGCGATGTGATTCTTGTCTGGATCCGGTTCCACTGTTAATTGCGCCTTTGATTCAGCTGAACCATATTCATTCTTGATTCGAACTGAATAAATACCAGTATCTTCCGGTTGAGCGTCGCGAATTTCTAGCTTAGCGTTTTGTCCGTCGTATTCTAATTTAAAATCGTGTGACGGTCGAAGTGGTTGCTCATCGACCAACCAAACCAATTCTGGTTCTGGCCATCCCTCCACCTTAACAGTAATTATCATTATTATTTTTATTATATCCAAGCGAAAAGTGAATCAACAGAAAAGTGAATCCTCCTATTACTAGACTACGGAAAGTGAAACAGACTTGTATTTAAAATTTTTCAATTAAAATACACCAAAATTCTGAATACCGTAATGATAAGGTAGCATTGTTAGATTTTAAATTAATTTTTCTGACTTACCTCACATTCAAACGACACCATTTCTCCCTCTTTCACTTCCTGATCTTGCAACATCGTTATAAATGCTGGTGGTGCTGCTTCCTTTTCAACTGAAAAAATTCAACAAAATTTTCTTCTATTTCGGTTTCTTTGCTGACAATAAGAAAATGATGGAATTTAACATTCTTAACTTAACATTATTTGGACTTTTGCGCAAGCGGAGACAACTTCTCTATCAAGCGCTTTCAATTTCGAATATTCAAACAGAAGGAATAATTTTGAAAATGGATTATGGAGTATTGAAACAAAGTGTATTGCATATTGTGCTCTATTTTCTATATTTCTCACCTCAGATTTGCAAATTTTTAGAATTAATGAACACTTCCACCTCTAAACAATACATATATTCGTCTATAAAAACTTTACAACTCCTTTATGCAAAACATTTATTAGTGGAAGTCAAAGTATGTCTATAAAAAGTATAAATATATGGTGTTATTTAAAAGTTTATATTCAATTTCAGACTACACACTTATCATCGATTGACCGTTATAATTTCATTACTTCAATATTTATTTGAAATAGCAAGCATAATTCAGATGATTGTAAAAAAATTAATATTGTTATATTTTGCTTGCACTTTCAAAAATAGAGAATGAATTTACTGCGACATTAATTAACAATAGTTAAAAATATTTAAAAATAATTAATTACCTTTGAGCACCTTGAAAAATGCCGATGTTGATGCCTGCCCATATTCATTAGTGGCCATACATGTATACCTCCCAGTATCTTCAACCTGTACGGGATCTATAGTCAAAGCAAAGAACCCATCTTCATCTGCATAGAATGTATGCCTTTCATCTTCACGCAGCATCTGATCATCTTTATACCTAAAATTTCCACCAAAGTTAATCAATTTAAATGTATAGATTAAAAATAGTCTTTTGACCATCATACATTTCAGGATTCAGAATCCTATATTATGGAACAAATGAAACAGAAGAATGCCTTTATGTGATACAAAACTTTCACATTATTCTATTACATCAGAAAATAAGTACCAAGTGATTTCAGGTAACGGATAGCCAGTAACTTTAAGGCACATTTTTGCTGATGATTCTTGTAGCGTCCTGAAACCGTATTGTGTCCTGGTAACACGTGTACCTTGCATATCAAGAGTGGTACCTGTTGTTGCTGAAAATCAGCATTTTATTATGAATCAAACTTTCAAATTAATTTTCCGAAAATTCTGTTTGAATAAAAACAACGATAACAAAGATGAATAAGCATTTCATCTAAATTATGAAATTGCTTTAAAAAAAACTACTAAATTTAAATTTGCAGAAAATGCATTTTAATTATGCGAATATAATAGTTAAAGTATTTTAAATAAATTTCAAACTTAAATTCTGATCTTGAATATTGTATAAATTTAAAATCTAAGAAAAAAAAATGCTAACTCCAATCGATTGAGCTGCTACCACCGCTATATATACTGGTTGTTGAAGCGGTTGGTGATATAACTGGTGGTGATTTAATTTTTTTCCGTGGTGGTCCTTCTTCGGGACCTGAAAGCAAATATTTTAGAGAGATGAAAATATAACACTCACAGCAAAAGTCTATTTAATAAGTTACCAAATTCACAATATGTAATTATAACTCTCCATCTGTGGAAATTTGACATCAATCATACCAAACAAGCTTCTGGAAATTGTAGAATATTCGCTGAATTCTGATCGAATATCACTCATCGTTACATCTAATTCACTGATTGTTTCCACTCCCATATCTTGTTCTGATATTTTTAAAAAAAAAATTTTTAGTAATAACCAAATTTTTTAAAAAGTAAAGAAATACTTACACCATGATGGATCCACCAATTCCAGACCACCTTCTTCGGCATCCGTTAATTCAATTATATACAAACAGCGAATTACCATATTTAACTTATTTTATTTTATTTGAGATGAATTTGTAATTTAAATCTCAAATTCAATGAGCTTCAAATATATTGACAACTGTCAATTCTTCAATACCCGCAAATAAATAGTAATTAATTGATAGTAAGCCAAAAATGGCTTCGTAGTAGAATTCAATAATATAATCAGATAAATGAAAATTCAGTTAAAAATTTAACAGTTTTTCTGCTTTCATAGTTGCAAATTATGAACGATAAAATTTGCATATTTACAAATAAGCAGAATGAATTTTCGCTTTCCTTTCTTCTTTATCGTTTTCTTTTTAATGCCAGCAATTTATGGGGTTGCAAGTTAAAAAAAATGTGAGGTGGAATGAGGTAAAAGTGAGAGGAATAAAGGGATGTGGTGGATGGTTGAGAGCGAATACAACCTTTAATCTGAAGCTGTAAGATAGATGAAGAAGATTTTTAGCTTGCTTAGTATTTGGTGGTGATGATTATGGATGGATCTATTGGTTAGATAGATAGATCGAGAGAATTTGAAGAAAGAGAGAAAAAAGAGATCGGTTGAAATCGTTCATTTTAAATGCTTGATGGCTTATTCATCAGAGAGCTAACTAACTGACAAAGTGATGAAGTTTTTAAGAGGAAGAGTTAAGAGGTGAATAAAATGATTTTAGAATCATTGATTGTAACGAACTTTTCTCTCTAGATAGATAGATAGATAGAGAGAGAGAGAGAGAGAGAGAGAGATTTGTTTGTTGTTGGAAGAGAGTAGCATTTTGTTGTTCAAATAATCTATCACAGTTAAAGTTCAACATTCTCTCTCTAACTTTATCAATGTAAACTTGAAGTAATTTCAAGTTATTCTATCTCATCATTATTTCGTTTTTTTTCTTTTGTTTGTTTGTTATAGAAAATGAAATATAACAAAGACGGAAACAAATTACAACCCCCGCAATTTAGGATACGTTAAAATGGATGATACATGGAGAGAGAGTGAGAGAGAGAGAGAATTTTAACAGAAGTGATAGCAACAGGAATAAGTGATAAGAGCAGTTGTAATTTTAGAATTACTAAGGGTGGAAGATGAAGAAGAAGCTAAGAACAATTTTTATATTTATCAAACTTCAAAACAAGTCGTTTTACGTCAAAATGCAAAAACTTCAGTAATAATTATTTTTCATTCTTTTTTTACCTTGCATTTTTCTTTTGTCTTTTTAATCATTTTTAAATGAAATATTGGAACACTTTTATTTTTTTGCTTATTTCTTCTTAAACTCTCTTATCCTTTAAAAAAGAAAAATAACACTTTTAAAAGAGTGAAATGCAAATTTTATTGGAAATTTAAATTTCATAAATTTATTTCTTTTGCAATTAATAAAAATTATGTAATATAATTAATTTGAAATTAATGATAATTAATGATAATTAATGAAATTAAATTAATAAAAAATCGATTACCGTATATTTTCAATTAATTTGAAGTGGTATTGATGAAATTATATTAATAAGAAATCGATTACCGTATATTTTCAATTAATTAGAAATGATATTGATGAAATTAAGTTAATAAAAAATTAATTAACATTATATTTTCAACGTGGATGTTTATTTTTTTTTGCAAATTAAATGATAACTATTTTATGAATTTTTGAAACATAATTAAAATTTAAAAAAAGGAAAAAATTAATTATAAAAGATAAACAAAGAGGTAACATACCAATATGTTCTTTCATTTTACTCATATCTTTTAGCCAAGCTTGTTGGATAAATTCCATTGATTGAATATCTTTTGCACGAATTTGAAATTCCGGAAGTCCTAGTTCATTAGGTTTAAGCTCGAAAATATCCGGTTCTGTTTCCGAAACTCGTATTGTGTATTTATCAAGCTGTATTAATACAATAATATATTTATGCATGTAATTAATTATTGAATCATTAAATTCATTAATTCAATTTAATTATTAACCAATTTAATTACTGTGAATAATGCTATGATCAGATTTTTTTAATTGTTATAAATTTTTAATTATTTTAAACATGATAGAATAATTCTTAAATTTATTATTATAAATGTATAATTAAACGTTTTTACACGTATCGTAGCGTAATGTTTATACGATGGCACATCTTTGTTGTTATCCTTATCCGTAAACATTAATTTGTTTTTGAACAAAAATACATAGCGTTCTGTTGGTTCCTGTTCACCTTCCCAAACCAAAAATGAATCCTAGAAAAAGCAATCATCCTGTAATGAAATTTTCGAAATAAATTTACTATGAATTATATATAACTATACGAGTATATGTAATAGATCACAAGAAAAAATGTCTATTTAAAAATTTAATAAATTAAAATTTAACATAAATTATTATAAATCATTTTCTAAAACAAATGATCGAATGCTTATTAAGAATTTCATCGATTGAAAAGAAATTATATTTTTCATCTATTTTCATTACTGTGAAAATTTGTTGAAAATTAATTACTTAAATTAAAAACGTATAAAATGTAGAAAATATTAAATTTTATAATTTCTCTTTTAGCATGAAAAATTTACATTTGATATAAAACTATATAAAATATCATTATTGTCTGAATTATCGCAATATCATTCATATTTTAATTTCAATTATTTTTTTTATTTTAATTAGTTCAATTAACTCATCTCACTTTTATCATCCTATATTATGTTTAATATAATAAAAAAAAAGAAAACAATTAATTAACATGTCGATAAAGTCGTCCAAGTTTATTCAGATCACCCGGATACTGTTCAATTCTTCTGATATATGCCATATCGGTAGCATGTTCCGGTACTGACATCATTAATTCTAATGCTTTTTGCATTGTTTTTGTATCAAGTTTAGCACGTGTTGCATATTTGACAAATTCCTCAAATATTTACTCAATAAAATAGACGAATGAATAATTGAATTGAAATGGAAGGATAAAATTTTTGATATCATTTCAGTTCTTGTATCCTCCATAGGTTTCCTTAGTCATTTTCAACTGTTTTTAAAATAAAACCTTTTTTGTTTTAAAAAATCTTAAACATTTAACACTTTGTAAAATCAAATTATGCCAATTGTAAAAAAGAAAAATTATAATAATTTCAATTGTTATTTAAATTTATTTATTATTTAATTGTTTTAAATTTGTTTTAGATTAAATTAAATTTGTTATTTAAATTTGCTTTCAATTTTTCATGCGTTTATCAAATGTTGCAATACCTTGAAGTAATTCTGATACTGAACAATACGATCAGCAACATTTTGCAAATGATCTTCGAATGTTTTTGTTCCAGCTTCTACTTTATTACTCAAATCCTAAAAATTATAGGAATGATTTTAAATGTAAATGATTTAGGAATGACTAAAAAATTTTGATTAAAAATTTAGAATAAAGAAGAATTAGAGGAGGAATGAGTTAGAGAAAGAAATTTTTCAGATATTAAAATTATAATTATTAAATTAATATTAAAATTATTAATAAATAATAAAAATAAATATTAATTATTAATAAATGTTAAAATTAAATTAAAATTAAAATTAAATATTGTATCTCTTTTATTGCAATTTATGTTCATCCAAATTTTCAATTTCTTTTAAACAAAATTCTCTTGTTTGATGAAAAATTGAAGTTCAAATGATTCATAGAATGAAAAATTCCGAACAAGAAATGGATGATTCATTGTAAAATTTACACACACAATTGAAGAGCTATTGAATTTTTGCACAAATAATTACATAAAACAAATAATTAATAGAATATTTTATGCAAAGAAACATTTTGCAATGATACGATAAGAAGGGAAAAGTTGAGAGAAAAAGTAATATGTTTTCAGGTTAATTTCCAGGTTGCATTAATTCACGAATTAATAAATCTTTTTTTGTTAATTATTGAGTAGAAATAATTATTTAGAATTTTGAAAGATAATTTGTGAGATTTTTGGTAATTTGTAAAATTAATAAAAATTTATTACAGATTCCTTTACAAACATATAAAAGTGAAAAATATCAGATTCTTATCAGTTTAGATATGTGAATATAAAGTTCGATGATAAATTGAACAATCAAAATTTAACATTATTATAGGAATGCGAATTAGATAAAAGAATAAAACTAAATGTAAAGATATTTTTGAAAAGACTTCTATTCTAAGTAAATGTGGTACTATAAATTAAATCCTGAAATAGTAATTTTTGTATGAGAAAGGTGGAAAAACAAAAACAAGCAAAAAAAACGGTAGAAATAATTATTTAGAATTTTGAAAGATAATTTGTGAAATTTTTGGTAAATTATAAAATTAATAAAACATTTAAAAATTAAGAGTTAATTAGGATTGAACAAACAATTTTACATTATATATATTTTCCTTAAATTCTATGATACCATTTAAAGGAATATGAAAAAAAGGAAGGTAATGCAAAAATATTGTTTATGCCAGAAATTTACAGTAGCACATTTGTAACATATTTATGAGATGATAAAAAAATTACAGTAATATTTTAATTTAAAAAATTTGAAATAGAAAAGTTTAATTAGAATTTTAGAATATAATTTTTCTTAGAATGAAAAAATTAGGAGAAATGGTTGGTTACAAAACTAATTAAGAGAAATGGTTGGTTACAAAACTAATTAAGAGAAATGGTTGGTTACAAAACTAATTAGGAGAAATGGTTGGTTACAAAATAATTTTTATCTACCTTTTATTAAACTTAATTCATCCCTTTGGTAGCTCTTCAATTAAAATCTATAAAATTTTCATCGATTAATTTTTATCATTTTCTTTTTGTTTTTCTAACATTTCAAATAGCTTATTGAAATTCAAAACTATCTCTTCTCCATTACAACTGTACATTTTATCAGTTAAAACTGTTAGATAAACAAAATCATTTGTACCACCCCTCTATCATTTGTACTTTGAATTCTTTCATTGAATAAATTTTCCTTACTTCTTTCTTTTTCATTTCAATTTGATTATTCATTTTTTAATATTAACCTAAAAATATTTAAAACTTTTACATTAAATAAATTTTAGTGAAATTTATGAAATTTTGAAATTCAATTTGAAATAAATATAATTAAATAATATAACAATTACTTTCCTTTATGTTTTTCATTTCTGATAATTTATTATTTGACTATTTGTTTAACAATTCTTTTAAGCTTATGAAATGATTTTAGATTAAAATATAAATTTTAAGAGATCGTTCTAAGAATTCAAAATCCAAATTATAAAGCCATTAAGCGGAAACAATAACAAAGTATTTTCCTCAGGTATGTATATTTATTAAATTGTGATAAGCTTACTTACAAAGTTTTGTGAAGGAATTAAAATCATGAAATTAAAGAATAAAGTTGAATGGTTATCAAAATTTCGCAATGACCAATTGGGAATAATTGTTTTTTTCTAAATCGAAATTTGCAACAGAAAAGATTGCTATAATTACTTGCCATTTTTGTTTTTATGTTTTTGTAAAATCATTAGATTACAGAAGATAGAAGAAGTGCACTTTATAATGACAGAAAAGTATTCAACAAGTCGTAAATCATAATAATGCCTTCAAATATCATTAGCTGACAAAAAACATTTAATTCTTATGATCATTGCTTAACTATATATTAAACAAACAGTTCAAACTTAACTATGCATCAAACAAACAGTTCAAACTTAACTATACATCAAACTTAACTATACATCAAACAAACAGTTCAAACTTAACTATGGATCAAACAAACAATTCAAAATTAAGAAATCCAAAATTATGTTTATTATCTGGTCTTCGATCACTTTTTCAATCAATCCAACAATTTTTTTGCAGACAGAATAAAGGAAAATTCCAATCATCCAAAAGATTTCTATGTTGTAGAAATGATAAACAAATTTAATTCTAATTTGCGTAAAATGTGCCAACTGTAGTAATTACCACAAATACAATTAGTACGAAGCAAATATATTTGAGCTTACTTTTCTTTTAAATTTTATAATACAAAAGTTTAATTACTTTTTATTTCAACCCTAAGGTATTGAAATTTTTAAACGATTATATTTAAATGGAAATACAATCAATGAAGGACTATTCTTTTTCATATACGATAAGAATATTATTTTGAAATTTTAAAGTAGCAATGTGTTAATTAATGTTTGTTACAGCAAAACATAATTTATAATAGCTATAAAAGTATATTTTATTTCATTATCGTTTTCATTGATAAGCATATTATCATTAAGCAATCAACAAATATCTATCTTATCACTTCCATCCTTTTCTCTTCAATTTATTAAGCTAAAAATTTTAAATGGAATACATAGTGTTTTAATTAGTTAAATTAGACTATTTAGCAAACTGATAAGTCCTTTCAGATATTAAGAGAAATGAAATTTTGAACTAATTGTTTTTAAGGAAGAGATCTGTCCTGGAAATCTTTGTGTAAAATAGAAATGGCAGGCGTTAAATGATAAATGGAAATGAGAGTGATTAAATAATTTTAAATCAGTTCGAAAATTGTTTTTTAGATTTTTGAAAGAAGCAAGAAAAATAGAGTAGTTGGGATATTTATTATCCATTGCAATAATATGCTTTCATTTCACTAAAAAATCTGATCATTGGATACTTCTTATTAGTTCTGATAAAAATGATCAGCTGATTTCAGATGATTGCTCTCTTCTATCTTGCTTATTCTTCTTTGGAATGAAGACAGCAATATTATGCATTACTTCAGATATTTAAGGTTATTTGACCTTAAATGAACTTATCTAGTAAATGGAGGAGAATGATCAATCAATGAAAGATGCTCCTTTTTTTAAGCAGTGATATAAAATGATCTTAAATATCCTTCAAATTATTGAAAGAAAATTTCATTACTAAATTAGTCTAAACTATTTTCTTTCTTCTGTCTATTAACTACAAGAAGTATATATCATTACATTGTTGGAACTTGAAACTTTTAAATAGTTTTACGACACATTATGAAATTATTGCCTACATTGAAGTATTCCATGAAAATAAATAAGAGAGGAAAAATTTGGCACTGAATTGATAAAGTTTTATCAGATCAAAATTGATAAAGTTTTATCAGATCAAAGTAACTACAACAAAGTTATTTTCAATTCTGTGTAATATTTAAATTTATAATTTTTGATACGATTAAATATATCACAAAAAATAGCGAAAAAAATTTCAATTTGCTACAAGTAACAATGTTAAAATTTGAATATCATAGATAAAATAGCTGTCTCTACACGAGAAAATATTTCTATCGCAAGGCATCCAAACGAAGAAATGAGAATTTCTTTTGATTTGATAATTTCGTTATCAGCAATAATCAAAGAAATGATTCTGAATTGGAATTCAAATAAGAAAGATAAAATGGTTTTAGAATTGTTTGAATATAAATAAATTGAAATATATTGATTGAAGAGATTTTATGAAATTATTGATATATGAAATCGAAATGGAAAGAATAAGGAAAAGTTCTTAAGAGATTTCTATTTCCTCTAAATGCTTTTAATTTTTTAAAGGAATCTCAAAAATTTTATGATACTTCAAAATTAATAAAATCAGAAAATTTCTTTAATAAAAAAAGAATATACTGAATTTTTGCACTTACAGTTTTTTTGCACGCAAGGAATTTAAGAAATTTCTTAAAATTGAAACATATATTTTTAAATCTGATAAGAGTAATAAAATTCGTGGAAATACTAAGTAATAAAATTGATGAAATATATTTGATATACTGGTGAAATGCTAAGTAATAACATTGGTGGAAATATTAAGTAATAACATTGGTGGAAATACTAAGTAATACAATTGTTGGAAATACTAAGTAATAAAATTGATGAAATATATTTGGTATACTGATGAAATACTAAGTAATAACATTGGTGGAAATATTAAGTATTAACATTGGTGGAAATACTAATAACATTGGTGGAAATACTAAGTAATAACATTAGTGAAATACTAAGTAATATCATTGGTGAAATACTAAGTAATACAATTGTTGGAAATACTAAGCAATAAAATTGATGAAATATATTTGGTACATTGATGGAATATTACATCTATATTATATGCACTGATAAAATGCAATGCGTGCAATAATTTTTGAACAATTTTGCAAAAATAATTTTTAAAATTTTCTTACTTAAGACAGAAATAGTTTTTCAAACAATGAAATCCATTTAATTAAAATTAATCAAAAATTTGACAGTTTTCAAGTAAATATTATAACCTAAGTGTAATATAATTATTCGCTTAACATAATATTAACTTAATATAAGTATTGTACTTAATATAAAGTAAAAATTTTCTAAAATAAGTTTTCAAATTTTTAAACTTTCGGTTAGCGTAATAATTTAGAATGATAAATGCTTGAAAAAGAGTTGAATTTTATTCAATGATAGAAATAATACTTCTTAAATTTCCCTTATAATGGACGGATCGCTTGGTATCATATTTAACAGAAATGAAGAGAAATAAACGATGATAAGACAACTGCACTTTATAATTGCATGTATGATTCAGATGTTACAGAATTTCAAAATAATACGATTAAATTTCAAATTTATTGAAATTTTAAATAGCAGCTAATAAAAGAATAAATAAGAATGAATGGATGAAATGGAAAATATTAAATCAATGGGATAATTAGAAATGGAAAAATTAATTTAAATTGGCATAAATTATTATTCAATTAGACGAGATCTTCATAATATTATAAAACTTCTTCAATTAGTTATTTTATTAAAGAATTGTTTTGCATATTTAAAGAGAATGAAAATTGGAATTGATAGTTTAGAATTCAAAGGTGAAAAATGAATGAAAACTTTTCATTAATTGTTTTCAGTCATTTATTTAATTTTAATTTACCTGTTGAGAAGATATAAATGGAATGAAATTGAAAGGAAATAAAATTGAAAAATTAAAATCAAAAATAATAAACAAAAATTTTGCACAAAATAAATTTAGCGAATTCATTCTTAAATGAAATAAGAAAATTAGCGCAAGCATTTTGCATAATTTCTGCTAAATTGTTGAAATGAAAATTGGAATTTAAAAAATAAATTTTAATTTAAGTAATTGAAGGAAATTAATTATGAAATTTATATGGAAAAGATGTAAATTTTATTTTATATTGAGAAAATGGAAATGGAATGGAATTAAATTACTATTTGTTGAGAAAATATAAATGGAATGAAATGTTTCTTTTTCATTTCTGATTTTAAGTAATAAATTTTCCGAATTAATTCATCAAAAGAAATGATGGAATTTTAATCAGAATATGGCGAAGTACAAAGAAGATGATAAAGAATGAAAAAGTAGATTAAGGCAAAATAATAATGATAGTACATATAAATTCCAAAAATGCAAATTTATCCTTTCAATTTATGATCAGATGATAACTCATATAATGATATGATAATTCTCATATGATCAGATGATAACTTGTAAAGTATCAGAGAATTTATTGTTAAACTTTGATTACATTTTTATTTTTGACAATTTGATGAGAAATTTTATAAGCTAAAATGAAGAAATTTGCATTTTTGCTAAAAAATATTTTCAAATATCATACCTGTTGTTTTTAACATACCTGAAGAAAGTCGGTGATTGTTTTATCTTTTAGTAATTCTTTTACACGCGGTAAATTGTAATGAAATTGAATGTGTAAATCGAAATCTCGCGACAGTCGTGTAAATGTTTGGCCTACTTTATTCGGATCATCCGAATAGTACTGTAGGCCTTTCAACATTATGCTGAAAGAAAAAGAAGTTATGAATGAAAACAAATTATTTGCATCAATTAGACATTAGGCATTTTCTATCCGCATGATCCGTTTTGAACCGAAATATTTTGACGGAAATAATAAGTCATTTTTGACAGTGCAAACATACTTTGCATGAAAATTGTGTAGTTGCTTCAGATTCATTATTAATTCATCCTTTTGCGCTTTCACTTCTTCCGGAATATTTTTATCATCCAATGCTTTTACATATGTATCAACAATTGTTCGTAGCTCATTAACAAATTCTTCCTCGGAACGTAATAAATCATGATACACTTGACTGTAAAATAATTTGATGATCGAAATCTAACGTATCAGTTAGCAGAGGAAATTTTTTGTGAAATTGAAATTTAATCATGTTGAAATATTTAAGTCCTATCGTAATGCAGATAGGTTTAGGCCTTGTTGGTTGATGAATTCGTTTAAACTTACTCTCTTTTCATAATTGCTTCTTGTTCATCTGTTAAATTTAAATCATTGTTCACCAATTCTCGTGTTCTTTTTCGTTGTTTATAATATTCCGTTGGTGATTCGAAATATGATCCTGGTACCCAACCTGATTTTGGTGGACGTGCCTAAAAGAAATTTGATAAAGATTTAAATTTTCTGCCAAAAGATTATTAAAATATTGAGAAATTTTTATCTTGAAACCTTTGTTCTGATAAGCCATGAAGCGGCATTCTTTTTATCTAACACCTCAACAATTTGTCCTTGTTCCAATGATATTGATTCAATATCACCAGATTCGGGGGTATAATCCTGAGTTGCTATATATACTGGCAATGATCGGGTCTCCGAAGCCTTCAAGAAATATATTTAAGCATTAGCATTAGGTAATGAATAAATTATCTGCATATTTTAATTTCATTCATTATTTTAATATTATTTAAGCACTGTGATTTCAATATTCTCATAATTTCCAAAAATTGAATTGGCAAGAAACGCTGATATTAGAATTTCAAATCTACAATAGTAATTTTGTAATTTTAAATAATCTTACAGAGACAATTTCGGATGATGAACTTCGACCGCGATCGCTGCTTCTTGAAGTAATCGATTCGGAGCGGTAAGATGATCGAGATGTATGGGCTGCATAATTTACATCTTCCGTTGCTGTATATTTTCTAGAAAAATGGAGAGATGACATTCTACGGGATATTTAAATGGGAAGAATTGAAATTGATTAATTCCGGTAATATTTGATGATCAAAGAGAAAAGCCTTAATAAGCTCAATATTATAAATTAGACAAGTTATATTGTGATGAATTTTCTTTAACATAAATTTTTGATCGAATAAATCTCGGTAGAATCTTTTGCGCTTATTTCTTCAATTTTTTGGAACCTTTTATAATCACTCTGATAAAAAAAATCAATTGAAAAATTCCAGACAAATGCGCCGCAAGGTTGCTTATGATGAATATTTTTGCTTATAGATGAAGAATTTGATGGAATAATTATATATTAGAAAAGGTTACATGTTTTTGTATGTTTTTCTAATAAGATAGATTTCTCTTTCTGAAGCTGTAATAATTTTTTTACTTAAATTCAAAATTGAAATGATCCATATTTAAATCGAAACAACTTTTCAATTTAATAATTTTTCTAGCTTAATTCTTATTTCAAGTAATGATAACAGTTATTATTCAAATTTAACCCAATGCTTTAACACTTAGATCACAGAAACATTTCAATGATATATATATCAAAATGACGCAATTGAAGTGACTGATATTAGAATTTCAAATCTACAATAGAAATTCTAATATGTTCGAATAAATAATGTAAGTGCGGTAGTTTTGATATATAAAGCATTTTGAATTTTAACATTCCAGAATTTGAAAATCAAACAATTTTACGGATGGATAAATTATCAATTTTAATCTTTATCATATTATCGCAATTCTAATCTCTATCATATTATCGTATATGGAATAAATATGAATTAGTAATATAAATTTAATTCTAAATTTTTTCTCTTTAAAAAAAAAAGAAAATTTCATCACTAAATTAATTACCTGTAGGAATTGTATTTACGTTGATATTGACGTTGACGTCGGTTTGCTAGATTCATATTCATTTTTGCAAACAAATAATTAATGGGAAATTCAAAAAAAATTTTCAATAAATTCTAACAGAAAGATCCAATAGTTAGGCTGCTGCTATCGTTGATTTTATCATCGGCCGTTGATTCTTTTACAGGACTACTACTTGTAAAATTCGTTTCCCAAATTTTTTTTAAGGGAAAAAATTTGGAATAGAAGCGAAATAAAAATAGAAATAGAATAGAAGTCACTGTATTATTCGAAGAATCGAAAATGTCGAAATTTATGATATGATTCAGAATTAAAAAAACAGCCTGTGAGATTTTCTGCAATGATACCAATCTGTGGTACCTTCTTGGACTATACTAAATTTGCTGTTAAAATCGGTGACTTCTTCCTCTTAGAAGAAAAAAATCACAAATTATAGAAAGTTTTATCCGTGTTTTGTTTAGTTATTGCGTTCAAAATAAAAAGGATAGGGAATGGTCTTAGTGGCAGCAATCTAATGCGCCTAAAGTCAGGCTGTAGTGTGATTGAATGAGAAAATTTTCGAATATCGGATGGTTTACATTAGTGAGAAGAATGAGAGATCAGAAGGTATGTGTTTGAGGAAGAAATTGAGAGGAAGAGGAGGCGATGATTGTGATGGAAAAGCTGTTGAACAAATTTAAAAATTTTTGCTGTGGTTTCTTCGAGGAAGAAGATATTTATGAGCAAGGTGGGAGGACAAAGAAAAATGTTGATTATATTGATAGATCGGATGGATGGATATATTGGAAAAAATCAGTGAATAAGCTAATCATTATGGGTGATTATACATATTATCATTGGTTAATGTAACTGTTCATCTTGTTTTGTTGTTGTTGTTGTTGTTGTTGTTGTTATTGATGATAATGATAACAATAAGATATGATAGAGATTGTTTTTGCATTATTTTCAAAAGTTTTCTTTTTAAATCTTTTTTTCCTTTCTGCTTCTCTTTTTCAACTTCTCTCTCTCTCTCTCTCCAAACTTCAAGTCAAAGCATATGGATAGAACAGAATCAAGTTTCTACTGAATAATTCTCGATAGTTAGAAGAGAGAGATAGAGAGAGAGAAAAATAAAAAGTGTTGATTTCTTCTTTCTCTTATTTTCTTTTGCTTTAGTTGAAGTACATCCAGATCATATTTCATACGATTCTTCGAGATTTTTCATCTATCATGCATTTATTATATACTTCTCATTTCGGCTCATTCATTTTGTCTTTACTTTTAATTGCTAATTAACGAACGATTTTATCATTCAGATATCCCCCCGCATTATTTTTCCTATTCCGTAAATTATTGACTACATTATATATTTTCAACAGCATATTTTTACTTTCATCAATTTTTGTTATTTTCAACCATTCTCTCGTCCACATAGACACAGACACACATATACATACACAGATACACACATCACACACTTACTTATTCATTGAGTTTAGTTAAATTGAAATGTTAGACTCGAAACCTTCAAGCTCAAGTCCTATTTTAATTTATATGAAAAGTACTAAAATATATTTGCATAAATTTCATCTGCAATAATAATAAATTTACAACTTTATAATTGAATTTAAATTCTTGGCTAAGAAATTTCATATATAGTTATTTCCAGTTATTCATTCATTAGCAGAATTCGAACTGTTGAATCTATCGTATATCTAATCAATATTAAATATATTAATTAAAAGAATTCTCCAAATAAGGAATTGATAATTCAATTAACTACTTCGTTGATCTATTGATGATTTTGATAAATTTGATGAAAGATGATAAAAGCAAAGTTTCATTTCAAATAATCATTTTTATTTTCAAACATTTACCTCTCTTAATTGCAATAACAATAATTTAATTTGTCGGAAAACTTTTTGTAGCCGTCAATTGCGGTTATTACTGCAAGTAATTTTCAATATATTTCAAAGTAATAATCAGAAGATTTCATTAATCTTTTGAATTGGTTTTTTCGAAATTATAAGAAATATCATGATTTTAATTCTGAATTTTCTGCATTTTATCAATTTGAATTTTACAGTAAGAAAGAAGTATAAAGTGATCGTTCAGAACACTATATTGAAGTATGGTTGGTAGCTTTAAAGCAATCGAATGTCTTGCCAATTGTCCGTAACTTTGTTGTATACAATGAAATGTTTTGCACAACAGTTAACTTACAGTGAAACTTGAAATTTTCACAGATGTCATTTCAGCATGTAATATATTTTCGAGTGTTCATATGATGAATTAACGATGATAATTACAAAAATAAAAACAAAAGAATGAAAAGAACTGCTTTCAGCATTAATCGAATTCAGTAATAAAATAGTAATAAACATGAAAAGTAATAAAGTTGAAATGTTATCATTGAAACTGAACCTATATCATCACATTGAAATTGATATCTTTTCTTTAAAATTTGAGATGTTCGAGCAATTAATTATATATATATCTTTAAATTTCGAAAATACTGCAAATGCCAAAAAAAAAGGATTAATGATGATATGCATCGCGATATTTGAAATAATTTTGAATAACTCAACTAATTTCAATAATTTTCCAATATTGATTAGACAAAGCTTTTTTATAATATCAAAATTCATATATGAATGAACAATTTAAGGCTAAATTTAGAATAGACAATTTAAGGTCAAATTTTGAAAATAGACAATTTAAGGTTAAATTGTGAATAGACAATTTGAGGTTAAATCTTGAATAGACAATCATCTATTTAAGGTTAAATTTTTAAAAAATTAATAGCGCTTAAGTTATAAAACAATTAAAATTCTGAAATATTATATATCATAGAACAAAATTTATAAAAATTTTTCATCATGAAAAAGCTATTTGCAACAGTAATAGATGTGAAAAGAAAAGAAGGAAAAAGAGAGAAAAATGCAGGATTTGATTTATTTTTTCCGGAAATAACCATATTATTATTTCTTCCGGAAAAATTTTATTATTTCTTCTTTCATTCTTTTTGATATATTCTTCAATCATTTCAGGTCAGAATATTCTGATATTTGTTGCAAAAAAAAAGCTATAAATTGCAGTAAATTACTTTTGTCTTTCATTTTTTGCATTTCAAAAAGGAAAAATATCATAAATAAAACTAATTAATGAAATACTTTCATTGATAAATATAATAATAATAATTAATAAATGATCGTTTTCCTGCATATTTTACAACGAAAATATATTGAACGAATAAATCGTCATTGTAGAAATTTGTTGGAAATATTTGATAGTATTATATTGATAATGGTGATATTTGGATGATTTGATTGATAATGCTAAAATTTAATAGAAATAATGAGAGAATAAATAATGATGGTAAAATCGAGAAAAGAAATTCAATTATGAAAATCTCCAATTAATAATTCAGTTATGGAAATAATCAATTAAAAATTGATAGTATTCATCAGGGAAAAAGAAGAAATTCAAATTACGTTAATTTAAGAATCAAAAATTTCTTTACGAACATTTTGCTAATCATTAAAGTGTAATTTTCATTGAACTAAAGTTCAACTTTTTGACAGTCAATTTTTGAATTGATTTTACATCAGGAAATGTATTAAATGATTTTTCTCAGCCACTACCTTCGTCATATCATCCGTAAACGGCTATTGAATCTTATATTTCAAATCACAATTATCATATATTGTAAAAATTTGTATGAAATCATTAATTAGTTTCATTCTTCTTCAACTTAATGAATAATCTCTTTGATTGATACCACTTCAATAGTTATTTAAGCTTAAATTTTGATTTCATTTTTGATTTGTAAAATATTTCTTAAGTTAATTTATTATGAATAATTTATTCATTCAATATTTTATCAAATGTTCAATGTAACTTTTATCATTTTATAATTTTATGCATTTATAAAATAATATTATCATTTCAGATATTAAAATTCATTTCCACCAGCTGTTGATTATAAATCTATCAATTATTCATTCACATTTATATTTATTGTTGAAGAAAAATTGAAATTTCCTATCTGAATAATTAAAAGTATTTGCATTCTAAAAAATTATTAACTTTGCGGATAAATGATAAAATATTAAAATTTATATTTTCGAAGCATTTTGAACATCTGCTAAATTCATTCACATGTAAATCGATACTTTAAAGATTATTATATTCATCAATGAGTTCAATTGTTTCAAATGTTAAGCTAATCCTTTGTTTATTTACAATGTGATTTGTTTGTTCAATAGTTAGTTGCAAATGGTAGGCTTCCTTTGATCACTTAGCTCTCTTTGTCCGTAAAATGGCCTTAAATAATGCATCTCAACTCAATGCGAGCAGTATTATCATTATCTATATCAGAAATAATATCGGCAGATAGACATTACCTGTATTATGAAACAGTCTTCAAATACTATCAAATATTGATTGACTTTATCCTAATATTCCCGAATATTGTTTTACAATATCGGGAAGAATAAAACTTTCATCTCTCACAAAGAATAAATCTTTACAACAAATAATGTTGTAGAAAACTCTTTCACGACATTTATAATTGGAAATTGAGCGAACAAATATAATCAAATCTATCCTATTACTATGAATTTCACAAATTTACTGTTCAGTCCTTTCAAACATTCATCCATCAATTGGATAAGTTTAATAAAGCTATCGTATAAGTAAAGATATAATCTTATTCTTGTTGAAGCTTATTTATGCTTTATAATAACTTCAATTACTAATCAACGATACGATCATTTTATACAGTTCTTATCAAGCAATCATTTTACGCCTAATAAGGCTTTACTTTCTTAGCATATTAATTATATTGTTAATTAATAACTGGAAGGCTCAAACTGTCATCGATTACGAATATTCTCGAATCAAAATTATACAATTGGAATATTTGATAGTGCTGCTGTTTGCAGTTGATGAAGGAGAATTTATGAGAATTTTTTTGAGAATTTATGAATTTTAAATTTCTATAAAATTAATGAGAATCGTACTTCGTAGAAGTAAGTGATTTTTCATTTCCAATTAGTTGAGA